ACATAAGATTGGTTCTAGCGAACATAAATTTGGTACGTTAAGCATTTGTTGAATAGACTGACTGAAAAAATAAAAATTGCAATAACATCCTCTTAAAAATTAAAATTATTTTTACCTATACAATAATTGTATTGTCAGTTGTTAGTTATAAATAGCCTACGCCAATTATAATAAAATATCCAAAGAGGAAAAATTTCAAAATATTTCCCTGTAAACATTAACAGACATGAGTACATGACTGTTGGCAGGATGCCATAATTATTTTGAAGAACACTTAGATTTCAGCTTAGAGTATTGGTGTATTATTATTATAAATTAACATACTGAAAAAAACAAAATTTGATTATAATGTTTGGTATGAAATAATAATATGGTAGGAATATTTTAATTTTTAATTATATGTATAATTTTGATTTTTATGAATAGATATTTACCAATGATTTTTTTAAAAACGTTTATTTTATTACTTTGAGTTTAAAGTATATTGTATTTTATTTAATAAAAAACAATACGCAATACCTACCCGTACAATTTTTATTTTATGTTTAGGATCTTGTAGGTATTAACTATTGTATTTTCTAACTACGAATTTTTTTCGTACTTACTACTAGATTTAAGTTTATATGCCATTTCTAGTAAGTACTCTTTACTCCTCTGGGGTGTTAATTTTAAATAAATAAAATACAATTTAAAAAATACTCTGTTTTGCGACAGTCCTACGTATTTACGAGATTCAGGCCCGATTCTCCTACTACTCGTTTCGCCGAAGCGGAAATCGGTTTCCGATAAAAATGGAAAAAGTTCCAATTCGCAGACAAAACAAAAAAAATAAAAATAATTTTGATGTGGAAATCTAGAATATTACAATCTACAATCAAAATGTTGATAAAACTGTACTATGACATTACTGGCATTTGTCAGTTGACAGTTAGTTATCATTGCATCGTCACTTAGTTATTTAATATTAAATTTAGAATGTCGTGGTTTATAGTAAATTCTGAGCGTGATGGCTAACTTTTAGTTTTAGATAATTTTATACATCGAATTGATGGAACAAGAGGTTCTAACCACTATTACAAATATATAGATAATTGTCGAGGTTGAGCAATACACAGGGAAGATTCAAATAATGTTATAAGGTCACAAACGCATGAACATCTGACGCATGGATTAAAATTGGCTGAACTTGGTTTTCGAAATAAGCTTAAAGTGAGTTGGTTTTAATTTATACAATTTTATTCACGAATTTTTATAACATTTTTTAAAATTAGTTTTGAATACCTACGTGTTATAACTTAAAAATATTATATTTGAAGGACAAAGTGGTAATAAATCCCACATAAACTATACCACAGACAATTAATTAAATCCGAAGAACAATTATGGCTTCAGTAATAGAGGGTTCAACGAAAACTGAAATAAATGATGGTATACCAATTTATACCAGTGTAAAAAGTTCAGCATACAGGAAACGTTTGACGTTAATCACCACAGTCAGAAAGTAAATATAACGTTTTACGTAAATTGTTAGAACTTAGCAAAACTTAATTTTTTTACTATTAATATTTAAGGTGTGCTAAAGTTATTAAATTATTTTACCGAAACATACTTTGATAGTTTGATCCAGATATCTGTCTATTTAATAGAAATGCGTGGAATCATTTTAAAGCATATGGACTACCATAAACCACCTTGAAGGATGGCATGCAGCTCTCAATAAAATTGTCGGTAGACTAAAGCCAAACATTTTTATGTTAATCAATGAGCTAAAAAACCAACGAACAAATATCGAGCTTAACCTCATAGCACAAAAAACTGCAATCAACTGCCACAAAAAATGAAAACTAAACACAGAAAATTATAAGAAAAGGTTATCATTTGTAAAAGAAAGGTAAAGCGTGTGTGACATACTAGCTGTTCCGTCATGGCATTGCCCGTGTATTATATAGTTCTATAAAAACCCCTTTTACCCCCTTAGAGGTCTAATTTTAAAAAATCCTTTCAAAAAAAATAAAATAATAATATTTACAAATGATTCTAATGATTTACATCATCAATACACATATTGTTATTAAAAATGATTTTTTAATTATATTATTATAATTTGTATAGTTAAACATATTTTATCGCATATCGATTAGAAAAGTATTATTTTTCGATAACGCAATTCGTGTAATTGAGCTATTCGGTGTTTTCCATACAACTCTTAAGTTAATAAAAATGTTATGATAGTTTGTAGTTTATAATTTGGGCAAGTATTCCTATACGTCATAAATATAGTGGTTGCAGCCGCTACGTGCGATCGCCCGCAGACAAATTAATTGTCGTAGTGTTGTGTCGAAACAAAGATCTATTATAACATTATTATATATTTTCTAGCTGATCCCTTGCCTTTTAAAAATGCTAACTCTATATGAAACTCGCTTGTAATAATATGAGCAGTATATTATCAGGTAGGCTATCTACCTGCGGTGGATTGCGGACCCCATCACTAGGTATACACTCTATATGATTAATATGTTTAATTTTAATTTTATTAATTATTGTGATTGTGTACACATGGCAATGAGCGGCTATAAGTGTAACTCAGGTGACAGCCACCTTGTTAGGCAATATACTAAAATTCGATTTGATGCACTCTTAAACCTGATCTACATGATTTAACCAATGGCAACCAACAAATTAAAAAAATACCAAGTTCTACTAAAAAATCAAGAAAGTTGCGAAGAAAATTAGTTACTAATTAAAATAAACGTGCGAATTGTATACCAATACACATATTGTATGGCACGGCGGCCCGCGGGTGACTTAAGTTTGTTTAACATTTTAAGCGTGATTGCTTAAACTCACCTTGATGAACAAACACTTATCAAAAAACTCACTATTCGATTTTTCATTAATCTTCAGATTGATTCCACTGTGAAACGAGCACTTAGAAATGTTATATATTAACCGTTTTATATCATAGAGAGAAGATAGATGGATCTGTTTTAAATGATAAGCAATAAGCGTGATGACATGACCCAGGGAAATAGGGATTTATTTTTGTATACATAAATAGATATATACAGATTGTAGAATTTTACTTCTCGGAACATTCATATCTACATGCTGATCAAACACATAGATGGACAACAACTTATGGCTGCATGTCACTATGGAAACCCACAGGTCACCGTGCTGTAAAATATGACATATTTTGTATATACAGATATACAATTTGTACGTAAACAATTTATTTTTGCCGATTTCAACACTATAAAAGCAACATTTTGAAAAATCCTTTCTCAGTGGAACTTAACATTATAATATTAATCCATCCTCAAAATTTCAATTCGATAACTCAAATAGGTTCGGCTCTGCGTTGATTATTCCTAAAGTAACTTTCCTTTATATAGAGAGAAGAAGATCATAATACATTTTTTTTCTAACTTTTAAACTATAATTTTAGGTTACAAAATGGTACGAATTGTATTTTGGAATACATGAATAGTTGGATACAATAATTTTTCATTTTCATTTTCATTTATAAATCAGAAGCCTATAAGGTTAAGTTATAGTAATGATAGTTGACTTGAACAAGTGATTTATTTATACAAATAATTTAAAACAATAAAAAAATGATATAGTATAATTATTAGTAAGTATAATTCATCATAATATAATGTGTCGACAAGTCATTAGATCACGATTTACGACGTGTGAAGGAATTTGTGTTTTCAAAAACAGTAGCTGTTGCCTGTTTGGGAGTTACGAGAGCATAGTGAATTAAATAAGAGCCAGTTTATGATTATATGTAACATATTAGATTACATTATTTAAAACTTTTTTTTAAGTACCATTCCCAAAATACAGAATAAGTTCCATCCCAATGACATCGCAACAATAATAATCAACGAATACAAAAACAAAATTCGCAAATAAAAATATAACCATTATCTGGATGGGTACTGGGACACTGCAATATCTGAAGAAACGAAGAAGCCAGCCAATAAGCAAAAGATGCAATATCATCTCCAAGAACCCCAATCTCAACAAATCCACAATTTTAGACATTAAAAAAACAATTTTAACATGCACACTTAACACTGGAAAACATCCAAAACCACTGGTCGAATTAGACAACACGAACAAACGAAATAAAAGTTAATTTATTATTACCATGTAAATCTACTGGAACATTTAAAAAATAGAAACAATAATTATTAACTGATTGAGAATCGGCCACGCCCGCTTACACATAACACTTAATCAGCATAATCAAGTCAACATTTGTTGACTCTTTTCCCACATTTAGTGCAGTATCGGCTACGAAAATAAAGAGCATTATGCTTACTCGTACTTAAGATATTTATGAATCATAGTAATCTAACCTAATTTTTGTAGCTGATACTGTACTAAATGTGTAAAAATCGTTAAAAAATGTTGAATCACTCATATCACACAGCAAACACCATTAAATGAACAAAAAGTATTATAAATTATAATATAATGGGGTAAGTCAGGAAATATATACGTTTGTGTTTTATATTCATTTTCTACACGGCTACATTCCATATACAATTGGACAGAGATTACCTATTTATATAATATACTTTTACCCAAAGGCGGGCATTAACTAGTTACCTAGTTAGAAAGTTAATTTTGTTTTAATATTTAATTTAACTAGTGAGTTAATTTTCTAATCAACTTATGAATTCAATTAAAGTTTAATTGACAGTTCAAATAAAATAACTTTTTTCAGTAGTTTTAAAAATACCCCACCTCTTAAAAAACGGTTATACCGCATAGTGTTTATTCATACCCCTGTAGCATCCATGCGTGAAAGTATTATATTTTATGTATAATTAGGCGAATACCTTATTTGTACATTATTGCACTTATTATTTCCAAATTAATGTAATACATTTATTTACTTTAAAAGCACAAAATACTTGGTTTCGCACAATAATTCGCGAAATTAAAAATATAATAAAAACAAATTTTTTGTTACATTCAGTCACTGTGCTGTGTGTTGTTAAATGCCAAATATTGCAGGTAATATTATTTGAAAAAAAATTATTAAAATGTACCTTTAAAGTGTTTTTTTATTAAAATAATATTATGTTTAAAAAGAAATTTTACTATTTAAATTTAATCTAATCTATCAAAAATCAATAATTTATCATTTAATTTAATTTTAAGAAGACTCATCAGGTTTGGTGTCACCGTGTATCAATGTATCAATATTATGTACAATATAGGGCAAGGCTGGATAACTTGACAATTTTACAATTTTATACTGAATAGGTGTACTTAACTGTTAGACTTTAAGGGAATTTAGACTTCCATTGATGTATAATAAATCGAAAGATCAGAATATTATTCGGTATCGTTGATTTGTTTTCTGTATTTAATTTTTTAAATAAACTAGGTATAACAACTTATTCTGAATATTACAGTATATATAGTATGATGTAGTATATATCTTACTTTAAAATTAAAGTAAATAATAAAACCATAAAGTTACATTAATCCTGTCGGCCCAGTCCACCCCTGTAGTCCTTCAAATCTATTTTCGGTGAATGTCAGTTTCAGATTTCTATCCCATATCTTTCCACTGTTAATTGTAGTGTAGAATAAGTTGGTAATTATAAATATTAATTATTGATGAAGAGCCTTTAATAGTGTCGATACTATATTTTGAATATTAAGCTTTTGAGTTTTGACTGATAAAGTTATTTTGGTAATACAAGGTGTTTTCTAGGCTCTGAGTGCTTTGACCTTTTCATTTATCTTTGTAGTTTTACTAATGAGTAATAATTTATAACTTTAAGAATAGAAGCAACAATGCAATCAGTGAGTGGATTTCGATTGACAATAACTGAGGTATTCGCTTATACGATCATATGCACTCTTGCTATTTTGTGGTGTCGCTTCAAATGGAACCGCAGGCATTTAGACAGATTAGCAGCAGGATTGGAAGGACCACCAGCGTATCCAATTATTGGCTCAGCACTCCAGTTTATTGGAACGCCAGAAGGTGAGAGAAATTAGACACTTCTAAAACAAAATGTGATATGATTTTATTATTTATTTTTATCTATTATTTGACTTATTTTTAGAGGTACTCAATAATTTAGTTCAATTAATCGAGGATTATTGTCCAGGACCTTTTAAAATTTGGATGGGTCCATATTTCGGGGTAGCAATTGTTAAGCCTGAAGATTTACAAGTAATTTTTTTCAGAACAAAACTTATCATATTATAATTAATTAAATATGGTATAGTATTAACCGATATATTGAATACAGTAAAATATGTATTAGGTAGGAACTAAGTGTGTCGGGAAACTTATATTTCCATATTATTAACATTAAGTTTTAAGAATAAATTAAGTTACTTTATAGCGTTAAGTAGAGATATAAAATATAACTAATGAAATATCATTGTAATTTCTTAACAATCATCATTACTCATTAGACAAAAACTGTAAGTCAGGGGCGTACCTAATGCAAATAGAAATAGTTTATGTATTGCACTTCAAAAATGTGTCTAAAAATAATTTTAAAAATAATAAACAGTTAATGTAATATTATAACAATTGTTACTTTACTATTAATGTTAATACTTCAATATGTACGTAGGCAATACGTATAAATACATAATAAATATAACATTAATATAAAATCACATGCTCTGTGTACTTAAGGTGCAAGTAAACATGTTTGGATAACCACTGGACTGAATTATTATGATTTAAAATATAAATATATACATATATTGATTATTGGTTACCCAATGCAAGTAAATACTTATAAATATCTAACTTATTGACAATAATTTATACAGATTACAAATTTAAAAAACTTATAGTGAAATATTTATTAATAGTATGTTTTTCTGATTGTTATTATTATTTTTTTGATTCTATTTACCAAAAAAATTTTTATTCCAATTTTTTTCAAGAATAATTACCATCACATTTTTGCTACTTGGAAACCATTCTAACGAAATTGCATAAGAACGTTTTAGAAACAAATAAACATCATTACGTTACTACCAAACAGTGGTATATACGTGATTTTTCAAATGGGGGGACTTGAAAATTAATAATTAATTTAATTAAATTAAAAATTCTCAGTACTTTTTAAAATAACCAAAAAAAAATTATAATATTATTATTAAAAAAATATTTGGTAACCTTAGTCTTCGTTTCTTATTGTGTCTGATTTATTAATTTTTTTCCTAAAAACTTCGATAAAAATTATTCGTTTGGTCAAAGAGCTAAAACACTTAAACTTAATACAAGGGTTTTTATTATTGCTATTGGAAAATATTAACGATACATAAGAAATTAAGAACAATTATTTTTTAAAAGCATTTATACTTCAAATGTTGTCAAAACCACAATTAATTTGTTGTTAAAAATGTAGAAAATGTTAAATTTTTATAGCTAAGACTTGAATATTTAATTCAAAGTCTTTCATAAAAGTAGTTCACACCGTAACCAAAAAATCACTGGTCACATTTTTTCAATTACATATATGATAATACAAATAAAAACATTTTTTACTATAATTTTTTTTTAAAACTAATTTCGGTATTTATGGGCAACCGCTTAATGTGGGAGAAACAGGGCTGGTCCCAACGTGCCCACATTAAGCGAAATTGACTGTATCGGTTTTATATTTTATTAATATTTGACTTTATACCTATTGTGTACTTAAATTAAAATAAATAGTTTTGAAACAATTTATTTAGACAAATCGATATATCGTACCCTCAAAAATATTATTTTACATTATTTTTGTAATGAATGATTTTAGTCTGAGATTATTCAAAAACATAAAAAAAAATGATTTGGCGAGAATGTGTTTTGTCTATTATTGTGCATGGGTTAGATAATAATAACAAACAGTGGGTTGAAATCCTTATAATTGTAAATTATTGAGTGAGATAACAACTTAATTTCTTAAAATACCTACCTAAATAGGTGTCCAACTACTTAAGAAACTAATTAATAATAATAATAAAGAGTTGTATATAGATCATTAAAAAAAGTTTGACAACAATAACAGATAATCACCAATATGAATAACGTTTACTTAATATAGAAACTAATTTTATTTCAGATTGTGTTAAATAGTTCAAGGACTTTGCAGAAAGATAGGTTTTACAATTTTATAAAAAATATTTTTGGTGAAGGATTGTTAACTGCCCCAGGTATGTATGAAATTTACTCTTTGAAAATGTGCATGTCTATAAAATAACTTTAATAGTTTAATGGAGAACTATTGCATTTCAGTAAACGATTTTAAAAAAAAAATTTTTAGTACCTAGATCTTTAGAAAAAAATATATAACTTACATCACCTATAATACCAATGACTGTTGAAACTATTGATTTAAATAAATGTATGAAATATTATGTTTGACGATTACAGTTGACAAATGGCGAAAGCATCGACGACTGATTACACCTTCATTCAATTCCATCCTTCTGAATGAATTTTTTCCTGTATTTAATGAAAAGAATAAAATTCTGGTTAGTAATCTAAAAGTCGAATTAAATAAAACTGAACCATTTGATTTATGGGACTACATTTCACCCACCACTCTTAATTTAATTTGTCGTAAGTAAAACAAATCAACTATTTAAAAGCATTGTATAATACTATAATAATTACCCGCATTTTAGAAAATGCAATGGGTTACAATCTTGACAGTCAATCAAAAAGTGGTTCTGAATTCGAGAAAGCATTGATAAAGTACATCAGTTAAAAATTCTTAAATGTATAGAACTATAGAATAATAATCTAAAATAACTTTTTGTATTTAGAGCATCAGAATTGGATTCTATACGAGTATCAAAACCGTGGCTGTACCCAAGTATTATCTTTTCATTATATCTAAAACTGAAGGGGCATTCTGATGTATTTGATACCATGCTCAAATTACCATTAGAAGTATGTTTTTAGACTGAAATTTAAAGAACTCAAAATGTAAATAAAAGTATAATATTTATAGTTTTTGAACATTTCAGATGATCCAGAAAAAAAGAGAAGAATTTGCACAAAGAAAATTAGAAAATAAATCAAATGATACAGATGTTACTGATCATGAAAGTGAGTCGATTTTAATTTTACTTAAATATACATTAATGTGGTTAATTTATTGTCTAAATTATTTAGAAAAACATTCAAAAGTATTTTTGGACACATTATTTGAATTGAACGAAGTTGGAGCCAATTTCTCTGATGATGATATTCGAGATGAGGTTGTGACAATGATGATAGGTGTAAGTAAATATTAAATATAAATACTTTTATAGAAAATATTCATTAAAATACTCATTGGATTATAGGGTAGTGAAACCAGCGCTATTACACTTTGTTTTTGTCTCTTACTACTAGCCATTTATCCGGATATCCAAGTAAGTGATCGTATTTACAACGTACCTACTATTACTTTTTACATGTACAAATAAAAAAGACACACGTTAAAAAAATAATACTTTTAATGCTCTGCTCAGAACCTAAAATATTGGAATACGGTATTTAAATATTCCACTCGATTTATGCTGTTTATGATTAACATATAGTACATACACCACTTCTAAATAATTAAATTATATTAAAAAAAGACCGTTTTAAGTCAGTCACTTTTATAGGATAACTCTTTGATAATAAATTAGTTTAAAAACAAAAAATTAATTACTATCTTATGTATAGATAAATATATTACTATGCAGTTAAGACATTTGTTTATCAGATGTATATTTGCAATCAAAATTACATAAATCTGATACGATTTCATTTTTATCAATTATAAATAATGTTGCATGACTAAGATACCTATATATTAACCAAACATTTTAAAGTAAAAATCAGAATTGAATAAAGTTTTAGTACAAGATTTATGAATTGCTTACTGTGATAGTCTGACTTCAAAAATAAATTACATAAGTATAGGAAATTTGGAAAGTATATAATTATTTTTACAATGTTTTGGCCTAACTCATACTCTATCTACTATCTAGTTTCTATAGTGTATAGTTTATTCTATGTAATTTAGATTTTAGAGAGATTATAATCGTAAGAAATATTAATGATCATAATTTATAATAACTTACATCAAAAATATTTTATTCTGTGGGCCTGTGGCTTATATATTGTGAATTCGATACAACTGGGTGATATCATTGAGTATATAAGTAGATATAATACTCAATGGTATATAAAATATGACATTGGTATAAATTATGTGTGTTTTTTCTAATAAAAATTGTATTGCATTATAAAAATTAAAATATTCGATTTTTAATTCCATTATTGATTCATGTTGTATACGATTTAGGATAAAGTTTATGATGAAATTTACGACGTATTAGGCGATGGAGACCAAACAATTACTATTGAAGACTCATCTAAACTTCTATACTTGGAGCAAGTGTTAAAGGAAACACTTCGATTATTTCCAGTATTACCTTTAATCGTTAGGGAAGTTCAAGATGATGTAAAAATTAGTGAGTGAATATATTATCTTCAAAATTAAATATAAGATGTTTTTAAAATATCAAAAATAGAAATATATCACCTAACACGTGGACATTTAAAATTGTAATAAATACTAATAACTACAAATGTTGTCAATTCCAAATACATTTGCACCATAAAAGTATATATATATTAATTATATATATATTTGTAATGAGTACACAAATATAATTTATGTAATTTTGTCCGTATAATATGTCTTGATTGACCGATTGTTTTTATTAGATTATTTTTTAAATTTTTTTTATAGCTTATAACTATATTTTAGTTTAAATTATATAGTAAAATACCAATTACCAATGTAATGGTTAATTTGACGAGGGTGACACCCTTGTAACAAATTTTAGATACGCAACTGGGTTGCACCATATTAGATTTGATATAATTAAATTAAATTTTATTAAGTTTTAGTAACTTAATGTGGAAAAGTTGTTCAAAATTGTTCTATAGCTTATTTTTATGAAAGAGCTAGTCAACTCTGTATAATTTTAAAGTATCATAAAAAAATACTAGTTAAGAAAAAAATGAATACATTTTTATTGTATAACTAAAATGCTTAAATGTAAAAAATTATGTTTATAGTTTCAAATAATATTGTTCTACCAAAAGGATCTACGTGTTACCTGTGTCCATTAGCCACTCATCGTGATTCAGCTTCATACTCAAATCCTACTAGTTTTAATCCAGACAACTTCAGTCCTGAAAATATTGCAAAGCGACACAAATATAGTTTTATAGGCTTTAGCGGTGGCCCGAGAGGTTGCATTGGTAAGAAACATCTAAAGACATATTATTATCCCTGTGTGACTGTGTATTATCCAAATTGATTTAATTATAGGATCCAAATATGCTATGCTGTCCATGAAAGTTCTGGTATCTACATTCTTGCGAAACTACAGTGTTCATACGGATTGCAAATTTAACGACATTAAATTAAAATTAGATTTATTATTGAGAAGTTCTAATGGTTATCATGTAACTATTCGAACACGAGATAGGAGATCTACAAATAAATTCAATTACTAGTACGTTTAGATGAGTATTTAGAACATAATATTACCATATTAATATCGTAGATCATAGGTTCTTAACTGGGGGTCCGTAGATGCTTACTCGGGGGTCCACGGGTCGGCTGTAAGTTTTTTTTAAATAACCTAAAAATAAATTTGTTTGAAATTAATTCATAATATCATTTGATGAATCTTTAAAGTAGAAACTGTACCTACATTTATAATATATAATAATAAAGATAAGTAAATATATCAATTCAAGGACGAGTAGTGACACACGTCCATAGCGTCCGAAAAAATAAAAGCATTGTAAATAAAATTTCTCTTTGAAAAAGAAGACTTCAATCGGAAAATTTAGCAGATTTTCCAGCACGAGCTTTCAAAAAATAATATTACATTATCCAGTTCCATAAAAACACAAATTTGTGCAAATCTTGATGTGCTTGCAAATGTATTTGGCAATTATTTGGATTTCACATAATTATTATTCGAAAGCAGAAATATGGTTACGCACAGTTCTTTTCTAGTAGACTTAAATGCAATATTAATGATTTAGACCTTGTTAATATGAATTTATTGATTTGAGATCAAAAGAAATGGTTATGATTATATTTTATACTTCAAAGAAGTCCATGGCCCAGAAAAGGTTAAGAATCTATGTCTTAGATCATATACTATGGATATTGGATGGACTGATGGAGCCCATAGTCATCTCGTCCGTATAAACAATTTGACACACATGTTGAACGAGTCTCTGTATTAGTCATTAAATGCTTGATGTGCGAATGCGTGAGGTGAACCGTCTCTATTTAATATTTGTAGTTGTTGGTAGAAGGTTGCTGATTCATATTTATTATATTTATATATATGTATGAATTAAAAATTCAAATAGATTAATAAGCGATATTTATCTTCGCGCATCGCGCATGCTTAGTTTATTCATCTAATTCAGAGACTTGTCGCTAATATGTGCTCTATATTATCAGTACATGGGTCCATCTTTAGTATATGATACAATATTTATGAGGTTTATTTTTGAATTTGTAATTTTAAGACATAATACGATTTATAAGATTTTAACTTTTTTACAAAACATTATGTATCACATTATTATTATTATCTATTATTATATTCTAAGCGGATCGACAAATGTATTGATTTTACAATGATGTGTGTTTTTTTTAATTATTATTTTCTGTAATGTATTTTTTTATCTATAAATACATATAGAAACTGTTGTATGTATCGATAGTATGTGTTGATAAGTCCTTATCAATGGCGATTTTTAATAAAGTATTTTGATTTATTTGTAAAGTTTATAATATATATTATCATAAGCATCACCCCAGCCGATGACTCCATACGATGTAATATGTTCGGTAATAGCCTTGTAAACTGAACGGAGTTTTCCCCTATCCAAAATATTTTGTAACTCTTTAAATAGGTAAATTTTTTTCTTAACCTTATTTGAAACTAGATTTATATGCTCCATCCAACACATATTACTGCATATTTCTATAGGTACCTAAATATTTTGTGTGTTAATTTGTCATAATTTACAACATATAATTTTCGGTGTACACGAAAGGGTGTGTAAGGTAGATGGATAAGATAGATTCTATTGGTATTTGCGGTAGTGCATTTTCTGTTAGGGAGTGAAACAAAATACAAAGTTTATCTAAATTAAAAAATAGACAATTACTTAAATGCTAACCTTAAAACTCCATAAGATTTAAATCCGATTGGATAGTGTGATTTATTCACACGTTCCAGTTTTCATAGCAACATATGAGGATGGTCCTGCAGAAATATCTCCTGCATAGTATACGACTTCACTCTTAAGAGGGATTGAGAAAACGTTGCTCATTTGTATGTTAGACAGTACTGGTGGTATAGAGGTTTCTTGAGGAACGCCACATAAGACTTTTCTTTACCATATAAGATGCCTTTTACCTGTAGTTTTATATTATCTAAATATAACATTAACCAAAAAAATTTCGATGAATTGATTCCCACTTGTTCTAGATTATAAATAACAATATTATTATTTACTATATCGAAGACATTTACAAGGTCTAAGTAAATGAAATCACATTTTTATTCTTATTTAAGGCATTATATATTGAACTGGTCAATGGTCACTTTGGTGATTACTTGTTGCCTACGAAACAATAGTATGCATAATGTTGCCTTCTCTAAAAACAGAATTGCATATTTGAATAAAATCTTTTTTTCTTCAGAGTAATTCTGGTTAATTCAACTTAAATTATTTTTTCAAATATGTTAGCAAAATTTAAGATAAGGGATAAAAGTTTATAATTTTCAATTTGGGTTTTATGAAAATAGGGGTTATTATTGCAACTTTAAAAATATTGAAAACTAAGCTTTGAGAAATTGAAAGGATGACTTATATTCTAGAGGTTGTATTAAAAATAAGACATAATTTTTTTATTTAGCTTCTATGCCATCTAAGCAGGCAGCCACGTAATTTACGTAGAGATGAAATTGCCTTAGAGATTAATTTTTAAAAGCCGAGAACGTTTCTTATTTATATAAATATGTATATACTATTATATTAAATAAATATTAATAGTAAAACAAATGCAATGTTTTTTTTGAGATCATTAAATCAACCCACCGTGACACTAATAGTAAAATAAGAACATTTATAGCAATACCAAAAATAGTCTTCGGTCAAAATCGTTTTTTGTATTTAATCATTTAACATTGAATTAAAATGTATCATGTACATTACAGTGATTTGCTCAATATTGTTATTTATAGGTAGCATGTACACTCAGATGGGCGGCCCCCTTTTCGGCCAGTAATTTTTTTATTAACATTACTACCAACAACTGGATGAAAAATATATATTAAAATAAAACAATTGGCAATAACCTGTTTTAACATATTACATTAATCGAATAAAAATGAATATAGTCTAATAATTTATATACATATATGATAACAAAATAAACATATAAGTACCTACTACCTAATTTATTTTTCATAATGCCAGTAATGTAATATATTATTATATATTAGATAAGATGGAAACGATAAGGTATAACATATTGACATTACTCTATAGTCTATACTATAATGCAATACAATACTCTAATGCCTATACAGTCTTTAGCCTATAGGGCACACGACTGATTAGACCGCGTTTTACATTTTATTATATCAAAAAATTAACTATGAGCGAAATTATACTTATATTGAAGACTCAACACCATAAAAATAGTAAAACTACCAATTGTTGTATTTTATTATTTTTTCATCAAGTTGTTGGTAATAATGTTAGTAAAAAAATTACCGGCCGAAAAGGAAAGGGTACATTTTGACCGAAAACGGTGAAGCCCATTCGCATCTACTATACCTACATGGCTAAATCAGAGAGTGAGTGATCTCCCCATTTTTTCTATTTATAGCTTGTAACTTTTACAAGTTGAAAAGGACGAAAAGCAACTTAAAACTTATTACATAACGAGTGAAAAATATTAGTTTAGGTACTTGCTTAGTCTTTGTTACACGATAATATCGTCTATACTCTACTACTCTAAATAATATTAAAGTACCTATATGATGTGATTTTCCAGCTAGGCAGAATGGCAACACTGTCAACGTTGAATACAAATAACATACGGCCCCTACAGGATCGCGTTATGAAAAGGGTACCGCTGATATGCACTTTACGCAATTTTATCCTACCCGTAAGTGACCACGCCTATTCATAAGTACTGAATTAAGACTTCCCAATAACTTAAAAAATGTACGTGAGAAAACTCAAAGAATATTTTTTACAATCAGTAAAAAAAAACGATTTGATATAATTATTTTTAGGAAACTTAATTGGTTCAGTATAAGATAAAAACCGTAATTTTTTCTTATTAATTTAAAACCCCATAACTGTTTTATTTCACATAAGAAAAATAACGAAATAATATAAGCAAAGTTAATATCGAGTGACGACTATTTTATGTCTGTGACCGGTGTCGCCGCTAAACCCGGCTTCTAGATGTTACAGGGAATCCGGAAACTTATCTATCATTACAACGCGTACATTTATTATATTGTGCCACCGGAAATATAGTCAATTATTCAAATATAAGTTACGCATAGTTATCATGTAATATTATACGCAGCCATCATATTTTATAGTGATTACAGATTAGTGATCAATATACAATTATTAATTTTTAAAAACCCACATATTTTGCCTAATTTATTCCTAACACATAATCAAAATATTGGTGTGTAATTAAATAATTAATTATACAATGCAGACTTTTAAATATATATCAGGAACAAATTTAAATTAGAGCCTCTAGCCGAGATGCTAATTAATGGTCACAAAGCGTGACAAGCGTATTGGCTTAAAATATATTTAATTTCTGATTCACTTTCATTATATATAAACTGGTAAAGGTCATGGAATATTGGCGTACCTATCTACAACCTTGTAAGTTTTTAGAAACACTCTAAAAAATGTTTCACCATAATCTAACATATTTACAGTGATCCACTATTTATTATAATTAATATATATATTTTTAAATATACCTACGTTATTATTATGAGAGTTTAAAAGTAAGCAAATAAAAATCTACTTAGGTACTGTAATTTTATGCTTTCTCACGGAATTATTATTAGAAAAACATAAAACTACTATAAACACAATACATTTAATAAACAATGATTTGTAATTTGTACCCGATTGATTTCAATCTATATTTTATTCTGTGTGAAACTAATATTAATAAAAATGGAAACATAAGTTTCCAACGTAGTTATATTTTTGTTAAAAACATCCGATATTCATTGAATGATGAAGATTGAATGGTCAATAACATTCATGATTAATGACCATGGTCAAATACATCTGGAATAATTATAAAGAAAATTAGTATTCCAGAATAATATTATCGTGTATCTATTAATTAATAATATATAAGCTATAATATACCTATAATAATAAAAAAATCATTAATAGTTAGATTATACTATTATATTTTTAACGGTTTGAACTTTGTAGGAACTGAATTTATTTATATACTTAGGAATATAAATTAGATGATTTTCAGCTAATGTTTAAGAAGGTTATGTTTGTATAATATGCATAAATATGAAAAAATTTTAATTGATCAAATAAAATTTTTTTTCGTGTAATCTATTAACATGCTTGTACTAAACCTTTATTTTTATTCGAGTGAAAATTGGTATTTAAATTATTTAAATTATGTCTCTTGTTATTTAAATTTCATTTAATGTCTAAATATTGGCTGTATAACTATAATTGATGTATAGTTATATAAAGATTATTTGAATCGTCCTAAAACAAGTTTTGTGAACAAATAAAAACTGTTACGGCAAAAAATTCTCAATTTTTTTTACAGGGGTGGGGTAAATTTTGAAAATCTCCCTACTCAAAGAAATTTATGAAATGTCATCAATTATCGTAAATTAACGTTATTTTAAAATCCTTAAAAATAAAGGCATCTAGTTTTCTATAAAAACTTTTCAATGATAGTTTCAGCTGTCCAAATTTAGTCATCTCGATGTACATCGGTCTTCGAATTTATAGTAGGTACCTACCTACTTAATGTAGGTACTTTTTTAAAAATAACTTAAGAATTATCATGTGAATGTGACTATATATTTCATTTTATATTAACCATAAATAAGTTGAGCAAAAAAAGACCGCGAAATCTGCTCTGCTGTGTAATACATTTTGAGTGAACATCGTCTTTAAGTAGGTCATCACTCATAACTGTAGTAATGCTCACTAATGCATGTATACAATTTGACTTCAGAGACAAATAATATTGTATTCGAAAAAGAAAAAACGTTTCGAGAGCAGATTGTGCGTGAACTTCTATTTCAATTTCTAATAATAGCTTATAATTTATTTATATTACATTAAAATGTATCATACGAAATGTATTAATATTCAATTCATTATCATCGAACAGCAAGTCCCGACTACAGAGTGCCCCGACTGAATTTAATCCTGTGGCCCGCACGGCCGCACCGTATAATTAATTGATGTGACAGCGACTAAAAAAGGGGGGGGGACAAGTAAGTATTTAACCATTAACCACTCAACCTGAGGGTCGCTATTACATAACATAAAATGGCTTTAAAAAAAGGATGGGCCAGTACTGGGTTCTCGATTCTAGCATTATCATTTATCGGTATCGGTTCTTTCATGTTTTTCTTGTGGAAACTGCACTGTTTGATATGAATTGTTTTATCTGTAAGGCTTTTATCAACATCTAGGTCGATTGTTGATAAAAAGAAAATCACAATAAACCCAAACAAATTGAGGAGTATGTTGGACGTTGGTGTTCCTCAACAAAAGTCTAAATATTTAAATAAAAATGTACTATAATAGTATAATATAATATAAACATTTTTTAATTTATGATTATTATTTATATTTATGATAAAATTCATATTAATTAAGTTCCTTATAAATGCAATTATTTTCATATGTTTAAAAAAAGAATTGAAATCCGATCGTTATCGAAAACTGAAAGTAAAATTTTAGAAATCGTACGAGATTCAGAATTGATGGTTTTTAAGAACTGACCCTGCCTACTCAAAATAACTTTTTTTGTACAATTTGTTTTGAATAAACTAAAATTGTGTTTTAAATTTTAGTAAAATAATATTATCCAATAAATTATTATATAGTGTAATATATATTTACATAATATATTATTGCGATTAACTTAAAGTCAATGAAGACTTGGCTTCTGACGTACCTATAAACTGTTAAACCATAAAACGGTAAACTACGGGAATAGGTTAGTACAATCGTACCTATTGTTCATAATGAAATAATGTTACCACGGTTATAATAACTTAGAAGTAGGGCTCGGAACTTAATGCACTTAAATAGTAATTAAGCATTTAATTAAGTACCTTCAAAAATATTGAAATATTCAAAAAAAATACATTTGAAAAGTCATCATGTGTATAAAATGTAATAATAAACACTATAGACTAAAAGTTTCAAATACCCATGAATAATATTTTTAAATTAAAACAAAATTATTTTAACTATTTTTCTTGGTTATTTAATTTGTAATTTTGTCCAAATTTAAATATAAAAAACTGTGTTTATATATATTTTAGATTTTTCAGATAGGTACCTAATAACCTACGTACAGGGTACCTCGTTTTAAATTTTCAATCCTTAACTATAAAAGTTTACATTCTATACATTTTTAACTAGAAAATAATTTTTAAATTTTCAAGTCGATAAATTGTATCAAAATTTTAACTTTAAATGCCTATGAAAAAATCATGTCTGTATAATTGTATTTGTTATTAACTGCTGTTGTAACAATATATCAGGAACCTTGTATAAACCTTTCAAGCTTTTTGACCAAACATATTTCATTGAAATTTACAAAAAAAAATAAAAACATTGAAATCTGAAAAATCGGTAAACAGCTCAAAACAAGTCATGATGTATCAAGTATAAAAAATAATAAAAAAGAAATTTCAAGTATCTACAGTAATTTTTTTTTTTTTAACTAGAACAAAATAAGAAATTTGTTCCATGAGAAATGGAGTGAATATTCAATATTGTAAAAATTTTAACTTCAAACGCTCATAAAAAATAAATTTGATTTTCTGGTTTTTTTTATAAAAGTAGACAATTTTATGAGGATTCTTGCGTTAAATTTTCAAATCTTAGATTTAAAAAGAAATTTTCATAAATTTCTGACAAAGTAATTTACAAATCTTCGTAATTTTATCGTATTTTCTTAAAATTCGAATTTCAGACGTTCATAAAAAAATATTATTTACTTACTCTCAAATTTTTTTTCTAATTTCCACTAACAACAACTTACGGGGAACTCTGTATTACACTTTTTAGTTTTTTTGACAGAGCAAATATGTTTTTCCTTTATAAAAAGCTAATAATAATCGAAAATTTCATATGCCAATAGAATGCTTAACATGAGTCAAAATATTTTTTTAAATTGTATGGTGTGTAGAAATTTCTAATATTCAGTTAAAATGTCATGTATTTAAAGTCATGGTCATTTGTTTTAGAGTTACACCAAAAACTAAAAACCGATTTTGTCATAAACCGATTTTGCTTAATAATTCTCGTTTTCCTCGGTGCTTTTTAAAACTACAGAGAATTCTAAATTTTGACCTCCCGAGTACAACAACTAAATTCATTTCCTCCCCCCGGAAGAGATACTGAAGTTGAAAATCAAAGCATTATTTCGACTACGTATCGTGTACCTACACAGACACAAATAAAAAAAAAACCTTAAATACGTGATGTTTTTACGAATTATATTTTTTTTAATTATTTACTTTAGCACTTTCTATACACCATAGAATTTTCAAAATATTTTAATTTTTCTTTAGGATATGTATAGGCATAAGAAATTTTCGATTTCTATTAAATTTTTTTTAAAAACATTGTCGATAAAAAAACATTAGATGAATAAATCTTGATTATTTAATATAAGGTTCTTTTACTTCCTCATAAATTGTTATTATTGTAATTTTAAAAAAAAGTCGAGAGTAAATTTACAACAATGTTGTTATGTTTAATAAGCCGAAGACTGTATACGCTTGGAATTGTTTTGTGAAGGTACCTATACAATTTTTTTTACATTTTATTTATTGATTTTATATTTTATTCATCAAGTATAAAAATAAAACATGCCCTTAGAAATAAAAAACTCAGTATGTGCAAAAATATAAACTATACACTTTCAATATTTTTTTCGAAGTGAAATTCAATTGCTCGTTAAAACTGTATGTGAGTCCTACTGTACATTTTTTTTATTTCCAACAAAAACTCATGAAAAACCTTGAATTAAATTTAAAAAAATAGATTTTAAGTACAAACTAAGATTTATGATACGTTATATTATTACAGAGATAGAAAATCTAAAGAAGTAGAAAATGTCTAATGTCTAATAAAATATAAATATCACAAAAAAACCAAAATTTTTTTAAATGTTAAACGTAGGAAAATGGTAATAATTTGGTGAAAAATTCAATTCATTACAATAATTTATTTTTTAAGTTACAACACAAATACATGAATAAACACATGTCACTTTATTACTTTAAAACCAATTTATCGGAGAATCCTGAATTGAAAATGTCTTCAAGGTTTTGAATGAAATATTTAATGTTAGTATTTGGTTAAGAATGGTTTACTTGTTCAATTTAAAAAAAAATATGTGTTATTATAATAAATAAAATACAACAATTTTAATTGGACTACTACAATGCTATATATTATGTAAATATTGGTCAGCGGAAGGGGATTTCACGTATTATAAAAATAGTTTCTTAAATTTTTGTTATATTCAGTTATATATTGTGCGGAGGTATTGAAACATGCTGTGCTTAAATAATATTTAGAAATTGAAATAAAAACAATTGTGTTTATTACTTTTTAATTAAATCTTTTAATTTATTTTTATAAATCAATAATTAAACTAATTTTTAGACATTTATCTCATTGATTTATTACTACCATTTAACATACGCGATATGAGATATATGGACAATTATTGACTTACATTTTACTTCACCAACCCCAGGTACCTAATAATTATTATAGATAACTAAAATATACTAAAATTAATAATTTAGTTAACTTATTAGTAAGTTTAATTTTATTTTATTGAGAAAGGGTGCATATTATGTAAAATGCATATCTCACTTAAATTAAAATAATATCTAAATAAACTCTGTCTCTAATTTTCAAAAATAACATAGGTATCTACGTATGATTTATAATAAGTTAAACATTTTGTATTCATTGAAATATATTCTATTTAATCTTAATATATTAATAATATTGGATTATTGATTGGTTTATGAAACCAACTAGGTAATAAAAGTTATAATTTATTATAGCATATCATTATCAGCTAAAATTTGTCAGAATCTAATTGCATCGGTTATGTAAGTAGTGAATAGTTTTTTTTATTAATAATATTATAATATATACACGCTGGATTAACTCTTTTTTATAATTAGATGTATATATGTATGTTATATAAGTTAACAATAAAAATATATAGGGTGATCCATTTAAGAGGGTGCACTAATTATCTCAATAATTATAAATTTTTTTTGAATTTTGTTTTTTTAACTTTTAGATTTATGCTTTTCTAAAACTGTATAATATTTTAATTTTGTTCACCTTTATATTTATTAGGTAGTAAAACACTATCAACTTTTGATTTTCAAAAGGGAACATATGATAAAAAGGTCATAAATTAATAAAACCATTTTATTTATGAATATTAGCATTACAATTTTTATTTTTCGTTATTTCGTTTGCGAGATACAGCTTATAAAAGTTTGGTGGTTTAAGGAGGTGTTGATTATATTATTTATTCATTTAGATATAAAAAAATAGTTTTATCAATTTATGACCTTTTTATTATATTATGTTCCCATTTGAAAATCAAAATTTGATAGTGGTTTCACTAATAAATATAAGGGTGGAAAAAATAAAAAAATAATAGTTTTAGAAAAGTATAAATTTAAAAAAATTTTAAAAAAGAAATTTAAAAAAAAGTTAATAATTTTTGAAATACAGTGGACACCGCTTATAAGACTCACGGATATAAGGTTCAGTCGCTTATTAGACTCAAAATTGTCTGAAACGGTCCCGACGTATTCAAATACGTTGTAAAAAATTCGGTTATAAGAGTTATAAGACTCAACAATTCGTTTATAAGACTCAAATTGTGTAAGAAAAAATAGTAAAAAATAAACATTTTTGGTCAAAATTCAGAAATAAATTAATTTTTTTGCTTTATTATGTGTGTGTGTACAACAAATTGTCACGTCTTTCACATTTTCCAATATATTTCCGGAATATTAGCTTATAACTAAAAAAAAAAACAAGATCACAATTTTTTTTCATAAATAATAAATATGTACATTATACATTCATACATACATCTTTTATACTTTTTTATTAATGTATATAATCATTTTTTACATGTTTTGTAATTTTAATTTTTTTATCAGAATTTTTTTAATTTATTCAATAATACGTATGTCATTTGTAATATGTATTAGAGTATTAAAATTAAAGAAAAATATGTAGTAAAATAAAATTCATAAATATGTAATTAATTTTTTTTCCCATTTCGCTTATAAGATTCATTCGGTTATAAGACTCACTTTGTGCTGGTCCCAATGTGAGTATTATAAGTGGCGTCCACTGTAATTAGTATACCCTTTTAAATAGATCACCCGTATAGGTAAGTACCTAAATGTAACAGATAACTGATAAGGGAAGTTGAGTTAGGTGGCGTAACATTATGCTTGTCACTTTGGTCGATATAAATCTATCACCTCCATAAATTTAACCCAAATTTCGCCTATTCTTAAAAAGATATTTCCCGATTTCCGTATCTATTTAAATAATATTTACTATAGGTTTATCACAAAACTATCGCTGTCATTAAATTACAATATATGCTTCCTAACATGTATTTTGAATGTTGTTAATATCAGACTATTTTTTTAAGAAGCCTATAAGATACCTAAGATACTAATATGATTTTATAAGAGGTCATTTCTAGGGTCTACCTAGTGACTTTAATTTTAGAAATTATTATGATTATATTACTATAATCATTATTATGAAAGTAAAATTTGCTAAGTTGTACAGAGGTCAGAGAGCGAAAAATGCACTGATATCCTCTTAAATTTTCTATAAATACACAAATCATAGCGAGACGTCCTATTAACAGAACTAATTAGGTAAATAATTTATTTTATGATTATTAGAATGGAAAATATTATACAGTCAGTAAAAAATTTCCGATGGACAACTTCAGAACTAATTGTTTACCAAGCAATTTTTTGTTTTGTTGTCATTTGGTGTCAATATAAATGGATCCGTCGGAATTTTGAAAAAGTAGCCGCAAAAATGAAAGGACCTAGAGGGTACCCATTTATTGGCTCTTCATTCAACTTTATTGGAACACCCGAACGTAAGTAAAATAATAAACACTTTTATTAGTAAATATTGAATAATATACGTCTTAATCTATATTTACCCATATGTATACCTAACCATACCTACCTATTTTGTTTTTAGAGGTTATGAAAAAAATACTTAAATTAGACGATAGATTCAGTCCAGGTCCGTTTAAAATATGGATGGGTCCATATTTCGGAGTTATTATTATTAAACCAGAGGACGTGCAAGTAATTATTTTTTGAACAGTTAAAAATAATACATATTTTCAATTACGATTTATTATTTTGTAATAGTAAATATTATGATTTAAATTAATCATAATAATAATAAACATAATTCAATCCTATACGTAACCTACACGATATGTACGCAAACTTCAACCATATTGACTTTTTTCCTATATGACGAGCACATCGGAAACTTGATGTCACTGTCACTTCTTTATAAACTATTTAAAATGAATAATATCCTCAATCCATAATTTGTATAAAATTGAATTTGTTTTAGGCTGTGTTGAATAATTCAAAGGCACTGCAGAAAGATCGTTTTTACGATTTTATTAAGAATATTTTCGGTGAAGGGTTGTTAACTGCCCCTGGTATGTACGGAGTAAATTATTAATAACCAGCATGAATTGTATAGTAAATTTTAAGTTATAAATTATAGGCATCGTGATTAATATAAATTGGTAGATATCTTATAAAAAATTTAAAAGATAATATACAGAATATAAATTTAAGTTTTTAGATTCTGAGCGAAGGGATGAATGTTTTGATTTTATATGTTTTATTTTGAGTCTGTCATCACGTTTTGGGACAGTAAAAATGCTTCGATTTTGTTTAACAGCATCTTTTCTGGTAGGAAAGTTTAAAATAGTTGGAAAATAGTTGGTTCTTTGGGGGGTCAATACTCAAAAGTAAAAAATTCCCAATAATTTTAAAAAGCGACAGGAAAACGGGAATTTTTACGAAAACCCGAAGAAATTCTACTGAAAAGTCAAATTAAATTTTGTGAGCGTTAAAAGTTGAAATTCTTACAACATTGGATAGTCCCTCCGTTTCTCATATAGTGGTATACTTATTTTGTTGTAATTCAAAAACGAATGACGGCGCATCCTTGAAATTTACACCATATGTTTATATTATCAATTTATACACTTGTACACAAATATTTTGACTCGTTTCGAGCTGTTTACGGACATTTTAAATTTTTAGTTTTTTTTTCTACAATTGTCAATAAAATGTTATTTGTTCGGTCAAAAGCTTGAAAATGTAATATAAGGTTCCTGTATATATTTACAATATCAGTTTAAAAATATTAAAAATACATAGGCAGGATTTTTTTATAAGCATTATTAAATTTCAGATATTGACAAAATTTATTTCAACCAAGAATAATGATTTATATTATTTTGTTATAAATTAAAAATATTATTCCTAGCCTCCTAGATACTTGAAACTTTTAAATTAAATTATTATATTCTATACACACAATGACTTTTCAAATGTATATTTTTTTGCAAAAATGAATTTAATTTACTGCATAGTACTATTGCTTACTAGTAAAATAAATAACCTAAATCACAATAATATCATCAAATGCACTAAATTACTAAGTAATATTATAGACTGACCGTCTTCGCTCAGAATCGTTTTTCGTATACAATGATTCCATATCAATATATTCAAATTTAACACTATTCATTACAGTGACCCACTTGTAACCTACTATTCACTTACCCGCTTTTCTTAAATCTAAAACAATAAGATAAAACTACTTATATACAAACTTTCTTTATCCGGTACCCTTTCTATATGGTTTTAAAAATAGATTTTAAATTCATTGTCAATGATATTTACATTACTAGTTTGCTGTTGAACTTGGAATAATATTCTTAACAACAAAATTGTGCAAATAGGTTTCCCATAGTTTTTCATAAGTCTGAAATTAATTGCTTTTTTTCTTAAAAATTCGGTTAGGTTGCAACATAGTATTATTTTTCAGACAAATATTCTAAAATATCTTCAATTTAGATAATTAAGAAATTATGAAATTGAAATGAATTGTTATTGATTCAATATTGTTAAAATAAATGACTTTTTTGTAACAATACTACCAAATAAATTATTCATTTCTAAAGAATCAATAATACGCTATTTTTTAGCCAATATGTACTTACTTGTGTGTAATTTTGTAATAATTTATTACATTCATGGAATATGGAAATGTGGATTAATATTAAATAACTCTGCATATTTTAGTGTAAATTTTGGATAACACCGTAACTGAAGAAAAAAATTGGTGCGCATGCTTGGTTTATCATCTTGTATAACACTATAGATGTAATTTGATAGAAATATTAATAATTTAATTGATATTATAATTTATGGATTTTAGGACGTATATGAATTATTTATAGTACATAAATCTAAAATATATAACAAAAAGCCCTTTAGCCCCCCCTGAATTCACGCTTGATTACCTAAAATAAATAGCATGTATAGCTGTTGCATATTTTTACTAAAAAATTGTTAATTTTCGTGTATCGGTGTATGGTTTTTACTACACTGGACACTAACTCTCTAACCTCTAAGTAGAGGTATGACCTAGGTATCCCTTTACAGAGGAAACATGTAAAAGTGACGTTGAACAAAGATATCCTATTGTTAGCATTGGATATTAACATCAAAGTAGGTTGGTCATTTTTATTTTGTCACCTTGGGTAAGTATAAAAAATTGTCTTTGAAGTTCGGTTACGTGGTCGGGACGCAACTGGTTTTTTGTAACGCGCTTACGTTACAGCTACTCCCCCCAAAAAGCAGCTTCCCTATCGCTATTGCTATTTTTTTTTTTAATGTAGTGTTCTAACACTTTTGCTTAAATTTAGCATGTGTATAGTAAACCGACGGAGTCGCCTTACACAGTCGTATAATAATTAATAGGAAAGTCTATAATCACCCTAAGTCTATAAGTCGCTACTCGCTTTACTATATCATAATAAATATCATTGCATTCTACCCATAATATTATTTATTGAGACCAGATATTCAACAATGCCCGATCGACACTCATCCCAAAAACCGAGATGGACATTTTTATTATATTACAGTAAATATATAATATACATATGTATATATTAATACATCATAGTACTCCACCTATAATATGTACTAAATACCCTTATGACGTTCTTTCGCCACCAATCCCGTTAGTGAAGACTGATGAATTTTTAATTCAAAACGATATACCTATCATATCACCAAAGTAGAAAACAATACCTTGATTACTCCGTTGTTCGCCCATTCGTAGAATTAACTTTTACCTACAAATATGACCGGGGACGATATTATAACAGCAGCACCTTGGTTGACACCTCTGATCCACCTACAAGTCACTACCGTGAGTGTATCTACTAACTAAAGTTTCTGTATAAATACAGGACTCTTTCCACAGTAGCATTATAATCAGTCTACCGACTATCATCCCACACTTGTAGACCTTAGTTTGATCGTTGATTTAATATTGGACATTTGGACTGTTTGGAATATTCAAGAATAGGTAGATAAGATAATCGTTTGTCGGAATTACATAACTTTCTTAATTTGATTGTATGGTTATCAATGCATGAGTTCATCTATCATATCATTTTTTTTTTTTTAATAAATGCAATAATTACCCGTAGATATATTCTGAATGGAAATAAAATATTTATTAGAAGAACTGTTTTGCTAATTTCGCTTGGATAATTTTGATTGATTGTGCCAAAAATAATTGCTTGGTCGGTTACATGGAAATTGTGAAATTGTTTCTGTGCCGGTGGGTAGATTTGGGATTAGGCGCATAATATTCGTTGTTGGATTTTAGGTAATTCGTAAACATTAATTTTTGTTCCTGTGTGCTGAGTGTTGACTCATAGAATTTTCAAATAAAACCCGTCACACATTTTTACTTGTCGAACGGTACTCGGGATTCTTAAAAAAATTTAATTCTTATACCTAAGTACATATTTTCTTAATGTGACTCTTCATTAATTATCATAGGGGCGCGTTTTAAAATATCATAAAAAAGAACACTAAAAACAAAACAAAAATATGCTTTCTAGATGAATTTAAAATTTAGTTATTTTATTAATTATTAAAATTATTTTTAACAAATAAGTAGCTAGGTGGCTACCTGTGTTAAATATTGTTAACACAACACATATTTTTATACTTATTATATGAATGTCAGTCGAATAAATAAAAATCGAAATAAACTCAATATGTATTTTGGTAATACCTAAAAAGTATGAAAAAAACTACTTAAGATTTTCAGTGCACATTTTAATCTACAAAAAGTTATTAGCCAAAAAACAAAGAATAATTAATAGATATACACACTTTGTAAAACCTTCGCTCAAAATCTACAACGTATTATAGGTTGGTATACAAAATATCATTGAAATATTAAAATAAGTTTATGAGAATTTAATACCTATAATATAGATTTACAAATATATTTTGTAAATAAAATTAAAGCATTTACTTTTTTCAGTTCATAAATGGCGTAAACATCGTCGTCTTATTACACCCTCGTTTAACTCCACTCTTCTTAGTCAGTTTTTCCCTGTATTTAACGAAAAAAACAAAATTCTCATTAGGAATCTTAAGAAAGAATTAGGTAAGACGACACCATTTGATCTCTGGGACTACATTGCACCAACAACTCTAAATTTAATTTGTCGTGAGTATTTTGATATAAAAATATTTAAATATTCAACTTTTTAAAACTGTAATTTTATATAAGAAACCGCAATGGGCTATAATCTTGACACTCAATCACAATATGGATCTGAATTCGAGAACGCAATGATAAAGTAAAAAAAACCATAACTATCATAAATAATATATAATATAAGATGTATACATAAATATTAATAATTTACTTTTAGAGCTTCAGAACTAGATTCATTAAGGATGAAAAGCCCGTGGTTGTACTTAAACTTCATGTTTAAACTATATCTTAAACTTAAGGGACATTCCGATGTATTTAATACGTTATACAAATTACCCTTAAAAGTATGTATTTTAGACTGAAAATTTTACAACGTTTAAGGCATAATAGATACAACGGTCTACTTTTAATTTTTAGATGATCCATGAAAAAAGAGAAGCCTTTGCAAAGAGGAAGATTTTAAAGAAACCAGATGCTGTGGATGTTACAGATGATGAAAGTGAGTAATTGCACATTTGCACGTTTGAAAATGTGCATACATATTACATATCCATTAAAATTTAAAATAACAATACCTATTCTATGTACTTAATTATTATTTATTATTTAGGAAAAAAATTAAAAGTATTTTTAGACACATTATTTGAATTGAATGAAGCTGGAGCTAACTTCTCCGATGATGACATTAAGGATGAGGTTGTGACCATGATGATAGGAGTAAGTAAAAATACGTATATACCTAACCTATACTCGTGATGAAAAATTATTATAATATATTTATTATTTATTCATTATTTGATACTTATACGGTAATATGTAAATTAAATTACAGGGTAGTGAAACCAGTGCTATTACAATCAGTTTTAGTCTTTTATTGCTAGCCATTTACCCAGATATCCAAGTAAGTAATTGTATTTATGCCATATTAACCTCGTGGGAATAACACATTATTAGAACTTAAGAATTCAGAAATTTACACTCAGTAACAAAATAATGAAATGTGCGTATTATTTATATGTACCTTATAGACTATAAGGTACATAGCGCACATTGCACATGTAATAAAAACTTTTAAATACGCAGTTATTTTTCATACAATATGTATTTATATGAGAATAAACTTCAAAAAATGCATAATTAAGAACCTATTAAAAAAGTATAATAATATGCAAAATTACCTATGCATTAAATGTTGTATTATCTATAAAAAATAAAAGTATATATTTTTTTTTTAAATAAAGGTATTAGTTGTGCACAATACAAAATATTTGTTAAATCTATATTATGATTCAAAATATACTTGATAACTTTTTAAAAAAAAAACTAAGTTGAATTGGAATTTTTTTTTTTGATTTGCTATCAAAATATGCATTGATATATATCTTTAATTAAAATGCAAAATTAATTAAATTCAATAAAATATGTAAAAATATGAAACAAAAATGTTCTATTTATGTTGTATATAATATGTATTATGAAACAAATGTACGTGGAGTTTAATTTGTATTTTGTAATATGCAGCTTCCTAAGAAATGAACACATAACTAAACATAAGTAATCGAGCCCATTGCTCTTATCCTTCTAAAATTTATTTTTAGGAGTTCCAATGCTAACTAGGTATATTATATTTATATATGGATTAAATTCTACAAAGAATTAACCAGTAGTCAATTTTTTTGGCAACCAATTAATTATATAATTCTTTGTACATTTTTTAAGAATTAAATTAAATTTTTTTATTGATCCGTCAAATCTAACTATACCTAGTTAGTCAGTCAACAACCGTGAACGCAAATACTCAACTCGATATCAAAATTATGATTTTCGCATGCAATTAGAAATTATCGGAACATTTTACATTTTGTGGTGTTTCTCTATAACACGTAATAACTAACTCCCATTTCTGACACAGCCTTTTAGCTTTAGAGATGATCCAACTATAATTGTTAATACCTTTCGTATTAATTCTGTGTCTTATTATTGGAATAGAGATATAATTATATTTACGTTTTAGGATAAAGTTTACGACGAAATTTATGAAGTATTTCAAGATAGCGATGAAACAATTACTATAGAAGACACTACTAAGTTGGTTTATTTAGAACAAGTGTTAAAGGAAACACTTCGATTATTCCCTGTATTACCTTTGGTATTTAGAGAACTCCAAGACGATGTTAAGATTGGTGAGTTAATTATTAAAACTGCAACTTAAATAGTTAAATAGTTGTAATAAAAAAATTATATTTCAGTTTCAGACGGTCACGTACTGCCAAAAGGAACGACGTGTGTCATATCTATATTAGGCACACATCATTATTCTGAATTGTATCCAAACCCTTGGACATTTAATCCAGAAAATTTCAATCCTGAAAATATCGCTAATCGCCACAAGTATAGCTTTATAGCTTTTAGTGGTGGCCCAAGAGGTTGCATAGGTAAGAATATGACCAATATAAGATCAATAAATTATGTTATTTATTATGTATATACTTATACCTATAAATATATAATTCAGGATCCAAGTATGCAATGTTGTCAATGAAAGTTGCGATGTCTACGTTCTTGAGGAACTACAGCGTACAAACACACTACACATTTGATGATATCAAATTAAAATTAGATTTATTATTGAGGAGTGCTAGCGGTTATCCCGTCAATATCCAACAAAGAGATAGAAGACCCACATATATACGAAATAAGAAATTGTAGGTTTCTACTTTCTACAGGATTAAGCGTGTGATTAATTTATATAATACTATAATATGTATGTCTTATTTTAATTCAGTACCTAAGTTAAGAAGATAACTTTAGGAATAGATTTGAATTAAGACTTTTATAATTTACTTTTTTTATACATAATTACCTACCTATATTATGTTTTTGCATTACACTCTTATACCTCCATTATTAAATAATTTGAACTTAATAAATAATACCTAATAAATAAACTCATTAATTTTTTGTCAATACATAGGCACCTAATATTAGGTTTATTATATTTTTACATTTATTTATTTTAAATCATAAATCATGATATATAATAAAAATTTTATACCTATTTATATTTATTGACGAAAATTAATTCTAGAAATACCCATAATAAATCATTGTTCCGTGTTTATATAATTTGTTCCTTCACAGTAAGTTCACACCTTGTATTCATTTATCACAGAAGTAATCATCATAGACACTATATTTAAATTACTGTTAACTTCCCTCGCTCCCGCAAAATAACATTTTTTTTATCGTAAATATATTACAAGGAGTCGAGGAAATTAAACAGTCTGAGTTTTGACTGTCCATTTGTGACTCACACAAACAATACCTATTTAGTATTTACCGTTCATAAACTTAAAATATTTTCAAAGCCATTTTGTGTAAACTTAAATTTTTTCAAGTTATAAAAAAACTCAATTTGAAAAAATACATTTTATCATTGAGATCTTTCATTATTTGGAAGTCGGTTTTTTGTATCCCTCATTGCCATTTGCCTTTTTAAAAAGCGTTTAAAGTAAGAATTTTGACAACATTTATCAAAATCATGAAAATGTACAAATTGTTTTGTAATATGGAAGTATAGAGTATTAAATTTATAAAGCTAAGTACCTAGCTAAGCTTTAATTGAATACAAGGTTACTCGTAAGTAATTCATAGTGGAACCAAATAATTACCAATTAATTCGAAGTTTTAAGTTAAAATTTAGATGAATTTTGTTATTTAAACAAATAATAACGGTGTTGTTTATTTTGTTGTAATTTAAAAATATTATTTGGCGGGTACTTGAAAATTATCTACGGTTATTCGCTTTTGAGTTACTACAAAACAATTAAACACATTTTATCGAAAACTGGATAGGTACCAAGGATTTGAAATTATCATAATATAAATATAATTGTAGGTACCTAGTTTAAAATTAATCAAAATATTTTGAAAAATTCAATGAGTAAATAATGTGAAGAGGTGTGGAAGTCTCTAACCACCGTCTACTATGAATAATATTATTTTAAGTTTTAATTATAATGAAATAACTTATTTGCAAACTTCAGTGATTTTTTCAACATTTTAACTTTAAACAATTATAAAAAAAAACTGTGCATATACATTTTTAATATTTTTTAATCGGAATAAGAACAACTTATGTAAAATCTTGTAGACAATTAGCATGATTTATAATTCAACATTAACATTTTTGACAACTATTCGCTTAAAATTAGCATTTATATTTTGGAAATTGAGGTAAAAAATGTAATTCTACCATTTCGCTAGCAAAATTATTATTATAATAACAGTTGCTTAATACGTGTATTATTAGGCACAAAAAATTGTTTTTTTAACACAAGAGCACTTTGGCATGTATAATGAAAATGTATATAGAAGGATTTGGAATATTCTTAAAAAAATTAATCACACTCCCCCACCCTACAAAGTTCAAGAGCTCATAGGTTACGTGCCTGGACTGTGTACAAAAAAGTTTTTGCAGATTGACTGATGGAGTAACAATGTAAAATATTTAACATAAAATAGCATAGTTTACCTTTTAATTTTTCAAGACATTTAATATATAACATAGGTATTAGGTAACAACAAATACATCTTTGTAATTAATGTATATTGCCAAATATTTTAAATCATAATCATACACTTATTTGTATATTGTACATGCGAAATATCCATTAAATTAAATGCCATAAACATATCAAATTATAAAGGTATATTTAAATAGGTTAAAAATGTATAATAACACCAATGGTTATAATATATAAGATAGCAAAAAAGAATAACAATGTGTACAAAAATAATTAAAATTTGTTTATACAATTATACCTATAACTGTATAATACTACAAAGTTTAAATTACAAATATAATATGTTTAGGAATGCTTATTTATCGAAAAAAATACAATTCATATAAATCATACGAATTATATTTTATTTCACATAATGTATTGTTCTGAATAAAATTACTCAATAACACAATATTTTTCATTACTAAATTAAAACTCATGTACAAGAATATATACTTTGAAAAATTAATTGTTATTGGTTTAAATAAAATATTATTTATTTATTTATTGAATTACATAGGCTTACATCACCCATAAATCCATTTTTCGTTGAACAATTAAGTTTAACAAGTAAAAATGTCAAGTTATTATTGCTATGCTTTGGTGCTTATACATGAATTAAAATGTTCTATAAGTATTAAATAAAAAAAAAATGTATTTTGTTAATTAATATCAAAATCCTTTAATTGTTACTTTAATTTGTTATATTCTTTAAATGTTTTATAACTGCAAATGTCGAAAATACTAAATGTCTGTTATACAATTTTGGCTAATCATAAAAAATGTATAAAACAATTTATGATGTATAATAGAAATACTTATAGATTATAAGTATGAAATACATTTGCTTCACACAAAGTATTTAATAATATGTTATTAAAATGTGTTTTTTAATACATTTTTTCGTATTATATATTAAACATATATAAATATTTAGTGAGAATAAGTGAGTAAATATTAAATATTATGAAAACTGACTCGCTGAACACAAAATAACAGAATAACTATATTTAATCAGAAAAATTAAAGCTAAAAGGAATAATAATCTACATCTTTAATTTAAATAAACAATCAACAGTTTCATTATTATTTGTATATATTTAAATCTTTACACATGAATGTTTAATCATCACCTGAAGCTCCAATTATGGCTAAAATGTACATGAAAATGTTTATTATGTCTACATAAATGGTTAATGCTGCAAATATATATTCTTCTGGAGAGATTGAATACTTATGGTCACCACCAACCATCATTTGGGTGTCATAAATAAGATATAAGGAAAATATAATTGCACCTGCAGATGCAATTATGAGGGTCATCAATTTACCAGGAAAAAATATAGCGACAATAGATGCAACCAGTAAAACTATTACAGCTACTGTTAAAAAACCACCCATTACTGTAAAATCTATTTTAGTCTGAAAAGCGAATATTGTAAGAGCAAAACATATCAATGTAGTTAAACCAAGAGCCAACAGCACTTGTTCTGGGTAGTAACGTGACACAGATACTGCTAATAAAAATGATTCAGCTAAGGTGAATACGAACAAAAGAATAAAGTTGGTAGGACTCTTGCGACGTAAGTTTTCACAGCATGCGAGAGCAATTAAAGTACCAAAAGTAATGATAATTGCAATGATACTTAACCCAGGATGTGATTTTACATAAGCTCTAGTGGCATCATGAAGAGTTGCCATAGCCACAAAAGTTAATGTGATAAGTAGCTGACACATCAAAATGCTGTAAACTTTACTGAAAGAACAAAAAATAAAATATATTAATATCATATTATAAAGGTACCATAATATTTTGTTATGAACAAATAAATTATATTTACCATATGAAGTTTTTACGTATAGTTTTATCGCTAAAGCCAAAGTTTTCAGGTGCGTTAAAACTATTATTTTGAGAATTATCTGGTATCCCTGCTCCATAATAAGGCATATTTTGTTGTGCATATGGGGGAGGATATCCACCACCAGGATAACCACCGCCAGCAGGATAACCACCAGCAGCAGGATAACCTCCAGCAGCAGGATATCCACCGTCAGCTTTTGGATATGGTGCACCTTGTGGAAAAAATCCAGGTGGTGGTGGTGCTAAAAAAAAAAGTATTTTGTTTACAATGAAACCATCCAGAATTTAGTAAATAATTGTAATCAATATTATTAATACAGTTGTTAAATGACACTTCAAAATGGGGAACGCATAATAAAAATTATTTAAACTAGGTCATCATAGAGAATGTCAATTCATGGAGTTCAAGATGATGTTTTACTTAAATTCTAAAATGATAACTGCTTATATTGTTTACTTTTTACACTACTAATATCTTAATATTGACAATTTAAGTTCAAATTGAAAAATTATCATAACATAATTCTCTAAAAAAATGTACTGAAATTAATATAATATACAAACCAGCTCCTGATCCATACGGAGTTTGTGTTTGTTGCCACGTACTCATTGCAAATGTTATTTATAAACTGGTCCAATTAATCTGAAAAATAGGACACAACAAACATTATTTAAATCAAAAATTAAATTTAAGTTATTCTTTTTTTTAAACAATAAAAATGACAAGATAAATCATACATTTCCAATACACACAAGTAAAAATGTTTTCAACATAATAATTTTGAGAATTTGTGTAACCAATTAGTAATACTTGAAAATAAATCGTTTGAAATACTAACATGTCTTAAGCAGTTAAATAAATAAATAGTTTAGGATAGACAAAAATAGTAAATGAGAGAATAGTGTAAGCGAGATAGATCAAAAATATCCTAATTATGCAAGATTAGGTAATAAGCAGGACTTTGATGGATATTAAAGGTGATAGTCTAAGATGATAACACTATCCCCCCCCCCACTCCTTCTGACATTTTTTTAGAGGATTTAGACACCCAAAATCAGTTTTATCAAATTTCATACTTACAATACATTATTCTAAACAAAAATTATTTCTCAAATCATTATCAAACATGCTAACTAAATTTGCTCTTAGTAATATTGTTAATAAAATTTTAAGGATGTAGTGTATCCTCTTTAAAATTAAGTTATCTTTTCAATAGGTTCAAACAACGCAATAACATTGACTATAGGTACTCCGTTTCAAAAGAGAATATACCAGGCGATGAACGGTTTTCGTCTGAAGGCTCGCACCTGCCACATCACAACATAGGTAGTTGAAAAAAAGTACAGAACTGAAATACCCTCTTTTGAAACGGAGTATATACAACACAGATGTGTATAGTTAATACTAATATTTTCAGTCCAGTATAAGACAAAGTTAGCCCTCGCTTGTGGAAGTTGGATGGATACAGATTTAAAGAATAATAATAATGAAGATATATATAATAAATATATTAATAAATATATAATAAATTAATAATTATGGTTAGTCAGTTTGTTTTCCAAAATTGCTTGGGCATAAAATAAAAAGAATGATAACAAGCAATAGAAAAAAAAAAATTTTCAAATCATCTGGACCCTCTTAAAAACAAATTTTGGATCCCTACTCTATGTATAAAATAAAGTAAATTAAATATTTTTCAGAAATATTTAAATTATCTGCAAGCAAAACTGAGTGACTTTTTTTATAACTGACTGGGTGACTATTGCTATATGAATTTTTTCCAACAATTTCAGCAAGCAAGTTACCAACTTATCTTATACTGGCTGTCAATATTATTATTATTGTTATTATTAATAGGGCCCAGATTTGAATGCTCCCGTGGGACTAACCGGCAGTAAATGTTTTTCAAGTACCTACCTACAAAATCTATTTCATACATCAGTTAAAGAAAAGCTTAACTTTTGTTTTGGGTCTTTTTTAAGGAAATTATTGCGGTTCAAAAGTATTGTTTGTATGACATTTGTTTACAATAATTTTTAGAGCACATTTGGGTAGCTTTTAGGGCATTTAATAAATTTGAACCATACATTTTAGGTACCTGCTAAGTTCATAATTTATTTTTATTTTAGATATTTGTATTATAATACAGCGTGATACGGACACCTAACCGACAGTTTTCTATAATATAACGACTAAGTAGGAGCTCTGAGTATTTTTTCTGATAACCTATTTATTACTAAACATATTTTTCTATGCGGTAAGACAGATTAGCGGACACCTACTATTGAGAAAATTACCCATTAAATCAGCTAACCCTCTCCACTGCACTCTACTAAGAGCCCACAAAAAAAAATAATAAGGAATTGAAACAATGATTTTCCAACTAGAATATGAATACTTTGAAATTATTCTATTTAATTATTTTTCGACTAATTTGTATAGTTATAGAATTTTGGACTATATTAATTGTACTATAAGTACTCTAAATTAAAATTATTTGACTACCTATGATTGATGATTAGGTATTCACGATTACTTGATACAGGATTATTTTTACAGGCACCCTACACAACACTTCAGTATTTGTGATAAATGATTCATTGGACTATTTCAAGATAACAGAAAACAAAACAACTATGATTCATCGGATGCCAAACAAAACCATCTCTCGGCTTTCCTACTGGGTCAATGATTATAATAGGTGTTGCACCAATACTGTTAATCCGAATCGGTTATGAGTTTGGGAAACCAGTTGTAACAGCGAAATCCATAAAAATAGGTTTACGCAACAAGACGCAAAAAATAAAATAGGCGACCTTGAACTTGCAGTATTCACGATTGTTCAGATGTCTGTTGCACTATTGGCTAATGCACACAGGGCTTACACGATTGCGATGCGTCATCACTCGGGAAGACGCGTATCAGCGTATGAGGGCGCAGCGATCGCAGCGTCATTTTTAAAGATTGGGTCGCATTTACAATTCCGTAAACGGACGGGCAACGGGATTCCAATTCGTGAAATCATCGTCCCGGGCTCCGGGTGAGAAGTGTTGCGGGTACGTGGGTGGGTGACATGTTGACACGGGCACACAGTGGTAGCCGTAATAATAATACGGGTATACGAAAGATATTAACAACAAAATACACACAATATACTTACGATAAGAGATTTTAAGTAAAAGAAATACAACGAAAATCGCTTACCCTCTGTCTTCGTGAATCCGTACAAGCTACAAACGGCAGTTATGTAACTGATCGTCTGCTTCGTAATGGGTATTATTCAGTACTGTTCACTGTAACACTGCGTTTACGATTCGTATTTCGGAGCGACACTTTTGACGACTACCGACGAGCGATTTAGGTCTACTGCTGCAGTGCTGCGTGTGACGAGATAACGACGCGCAAGTGCGCAACCGATGGACGATGGGACCAACGTGACAATGCGCCTGTGCGCAGGCCTCGATAACCGCTATTGGAATATTACCGTTGACAGACCGTTCGTGTCGTCTGTACACTGTTGAATGGCCCGAACGCCCCGAACTGCGAAGTGGATAAAAGTTTAAACACGAATTACACGATAACGATTTGCTACCTATCACCTATCGAAAGATCTAGAATATAGTTGTTATGGCCTTATGGGTTGTAGGCTACGGTGAAATAATGAAATGCAACGCGTTATCTCTCACAACGACTGATAAATGTTAAGTGACAACAAGAGCTTCCGTAATCAATAGTCGATTATGTATATAATTTTTGTGGTCTCAAACTGTCAACTTAATGTGAAATCTGAATAATGAATGAATACGGACTATAAAGTGACCAGTATATAGTGACTACTGACTAGTCTAGTTGTAACTTGCCAGAGCCTGAAATACCGAATGCTGAATACTGAAAGCGAGTGAAAAGTGAAAAGGTAGTAGAGAGCGATTAGTGGGCGACAAACAAAATACTGTATAGTTTATAAACCTAAGGAATGGGAAGTATGCTTAATGATAAGACTGCGCATATTTTTTTAGAGGCAATGTATAATTTATAATATAATATACACAACTAACAATAAACTCAAGGTGACGTCACACGTTACATTTGAGCTTATCATCGAACAGAATAGGGATTAGGGAACAGCTGATCGATTAATTTACATTATTCTAGAATTTTGGCAAGATGTTAGCTGCCACGAATTAGTATAGTACTATTCAATTTGTGGATACTACATTACAGTTTACATGTGCTGAAAAAAAACACATTTTATATGGAACACAAATTTCCATGGCCACACCACCCAACCCCGTCGACACATGTTCAGTCTGTTGGTACAAGGTCTATGTCATGTTCTATGATTTGCGATGCAGTATGCACAAGAACACAAGACGATGCACTATGCACATGCGTGAACTAGGACGTAAACGCGGTTCGTGTTGAGCATACTCATTTTAAGTATACTATGGAGCAATACCTGCAGCCTGCAAATTGCAATAACATATGATATAAACAAGGTGTAAATCACTGAGAAAGAAAATGAATAATAATAAAGATATTATATAATATTATCTATCTCGGTACTCGGTAGTATGATCGAGACTTTTTGACGGTCAGATACCGATATATATTAAGTCATGTCGATTACCATAACAGCTTCAATAGGCAAGTGGCGTCAGAAGTGCCAAGCATTTAATGACAATATGATTATAATAATATGGGTCACGAATTAAAATAAACCATATGGCATATTATACCATAGACCTATTAACTAGTTAATAGGTCTATGTATTATACCATGTAACATGTGTAAGCAAATACGTATGCGTAGATTTTAATCAAACTTTGTAGTTTGTGACATGAACTAAGATATATCTTAGTTCATGGTTTGTGATCATACCATGTTGATATGTTATTACTTATTATCATGCAATGACCACGGACTAAGATTTATATATAGGCAATAAGGTATCTTTTATCTATTAGCCAGTGTTTCATTTGGAAAAAAAATAAAAAGAGGAACTCAGCGGATGTTGGATGCTTTCCACACAAAATTAACCGTCCTATTACCGTGGCGGCTTGGCTTTCCCCCATATCCCCCCTAATCACAACAAAACAATATTAAATTTACTCTACAAATATATGTACAAAAAAAAAAAATACTTACTTATTAATTATTATTGAAAAAAACATAAAATTGGTCAACTATCAATAAATTATGCATTAAACAAGGTCCATAAATGTTAATATGAAGAACCTATCATGCATACCTAATACGATTTCTTGTCACTGTATTTTATGGTACTTGGACGTCCCTCCACCCCAGTGCCTCTTGCCAACCAACAATTTTAGCAGTACTGGACGTTTCCCCCCGTACTGAGACATTTCCCGCCTGAATCAATATATATATTTTTACACGTGAAAATAGATAGAAAATTAGAAAAATAGGTTCTTTTCCTTTGTTATACCCGAAATATAAAATATGATAATATTTTTTAATTCCCGCGAGCTATATTACCAGAGAAAAAATATTATTTAGGCTTTTTCATTTCTTTCATTTATTTAATTTTGTATTTTAATGTCAAAAGTATTAATATGAATATTATTCTGTGAAATGTCTTACCAGAATAAAAAATATAAGTTACGTGTATCATTTAATTTTATCATATTTAATTGTTTTAGTATTATCCGTTTAATGTTTTTAATATTTATATTAGTGAATTTGTATTGGCATTTGGCAAATAGCAAAAATGATATTATGACGTATTATTGGATTATATTTATATATTATTTAAATAGGATTATATTGAGCAAATTTGCATTGTATATTATTATTATTGTTTAATATTTCAATTTTTTGTCCAGGGGCAATTAATTCTTAAGGTTGTCTAATTTTATCAAAAATGCCTACCGAAAAGTCAAATTGAATTTTTATGAGAGTTTAAAGTTGAAATGTTGACAAAATTGGATATTCACTGAATTTCTCATGGAACGATTGTCCTATTTTGTGGTAATTCAAAAACTTTTAACTGTAGATGCTTAAAATTTACACCAAATGTTTAATTTATCATTTCTTATACTTGATACCATTTTCAAAATATTTTGACTTGTTTTGTTTATTTTGATTAAATGTCAAGGAACCTTGTATTACATTTTCAAGCTTTTTGACCGAGCAAATATTTTTTGGACAATAGTTTTTTACAAACTGAGATCATATTATTAAATTAGGTATAGTATTTTAATTTCTAATTTTTTTTTATGTACTGGACTATACCTCTATAATAATATATTAAATTCAATAACTACTCTGTGGCAGTAACTCAAAAATTTTATTTAAAAAATCTGCAAAAAATTTGGTGATAATTGATTAGGGCCAGGCGCACGCAAAAAAGCTGTACAAAACGTTCAGCAATAAATATTTCTGTCTTTCTTTGTTTCTATCATAACCACAGGACAAAAACTATAGTTTGACACTGTTATGGAAGTAGTAAAATTGTTTTAAAAAGTTCTAAAATAAGGTGAAGTCAAGGAATGCAGCATGCCTATTACACAAAAATTATGAAATAGCATAATAGAAAAATTATTAAAACTTTAAAATTATGTTTATGGCTCAATTTTTTCACAAGCCACAAGGTAAGACAAATAATACTTCTCAAACATAATATGTATAGTTAATGTCATAACAATATTTGTATTCAATAAGTTAAATTCTAAACACTAGTATTTCTTTTTTTGTACTAAGAATGAATCAGATGCAGTATATGTAGTAAATATATGTCCCCCCAATAACAAATAGGAGCCATTAAGCATTATATAAATTAATATATTTTGTATTCACTATATTTGTAGGCTTCTTGAAATCTAGTAGATGTTATAATCTTTGTAATTTAGGAAAATGATTTTGATTAATAGATATTTAAATGTTAGCTATTACATACATTGTTTATTTAATTATATTTATTACATTTGACTAATCAATAATAGAATATAATAAACTAAACAATTACAATTAATAAATGCATAATGTACCTACTTCTAATTTAGTAATAAGAACATTTACATTTTACAATTACCTCATTTCCAACAAAAAACAAGTCAAATACTAAACTATTGGTTATGAATTATGATAATTTAAGGTTTAAAACTACTTTCTCTTTCAATCCAATCCTTTTTCAGTGTTTCTAATTTTTTCCGTTTCCATTCTTTTTGTGCATTCTTTTTTTCCGTAATTGCTTTTTTTTGTGCTTCGACTGACTCATTACCATTTTCTATTACATCTAATTTTGTAGCAAGTTTATCTCTAGCTATTTTTCTGTTATCTTCCACACATCTTGATTCATGACATTTAATCACAATGCCAGTTGGTTTATGTTTTAATACAACACAATTAGCATTTTTATTGACGGCTGAACCACCAGGGCCACTGCCCTTAACAAACATTTCTTCAAGTTCATTTTCATTTATGATAGGTACTTTTGAGTGATCTATTGTCTGTTTCTTATTGAATAATGTTAAACTAATGCTTCTAGCATTCTTCACACTTTTAGTGTTAAAAGGTAGAGCCTTACATAATAATGAATACATTGATATAAAGGAAACGGACACAATTTAAACTATTGACTTTCTCTTTAATAACTCTTTTCCTTTCTGAAACAAATAAATATTGACAAATGGTTAATACAACTGTATTATCGAAATTAATAAAAGGCAATGTTTGTGTAAGCTTGTAAGCAATCACACTCATAATTCTGAAATTTGGTACATAGCTTATTATATACACAAGAATTTTTAATTTTGCACAGGGATTTGTTGGCTCAAAAAAAATATTATTTTTTTAAGATTTCTATTGGTTACATAAAATAAAATAGTTAAGTATTATAATTTTATAGAATTATAGGGTGTATCTTATATGAGATTAGACCAGCCATATTACCATGTTAAAACTATGCACATTTTACATTTAATGGAGTTTAAAACAGAGTAAATCCATTGGCATTATTTAATTTTTTCACGGGCAACATTGTGTAAGATCAGCTAAACATAAATATATATAATAATATCATTATGTCTATAAATAGTAAATACTTTAGTTGGTCATTGCTAGTCAAGATTAATTGTCATTTTTATTTCATGAAAAAAGTATGTTTTACTTGATTATAGCTTGGATTTGTATGTGTTAACATATTAAATCTGGTTATTCGTATGATACGACAATATGCTAAGTAAAGTCAACATTTTTTTATGGTATAGAGATTGAAAATATGAAAGCTTTTAGGTCATATTTATTTTAATCTGTAAATTTTTTGATTTTGTAGTTAAAATAGTAAAATAAAAACTTAATTTTAATGTCTCATCTTTTAGTAAAAAATTTACGTATTTTTTAGAAATTTCCCAAAAATTTAAACAAATATTCTTAGAATTTTCGAAACATATTTTTGACCTAATATTAAAATAAATTGATATAAGTAGTTACAAATAGATTTCACGGATAAAACCAGTGTAGTTATGATATTTTTAACGGCACCTATTCAGCTATTGGTTAATAGTAAATACTAAGATCAGAAAAAAACGATTTAGACCATGGACAATTAATATCATTTATATTTTTATTGATTATTGTCATGATTTATAAAGAAATAAATAATTTTATTTTTATAATTGTTAAATGCATATTTTAACTTTAAAATGTACCTATATAATATAAAAGTTGTAGTGAAATAAATATTGGTGATTAAATAAAATATAGCCATCAGAGAATTATGATTTTTTAACTGAACAAATATTCTTAACTTACATCAAAGAAAAATTTAATCTCTTCCGGTTTAACTAACTGTTTATTGACCAAAAATTCCTGTTTGATTCGACTTTTATAATAATTTTTGTCAGTAAGTTTTAAATTACAGCCATACTTCAAAAGCTCTTTGTATAATTTCTTTACTTGTAAATGGGTAATAGTCATTTCTAAAAACATAAAAAAATAATAGTTAAAATAATAACAAAAACAATAACCTATTTAAATAAATGGACTATAAGTACATACATTGGCATAATATCAGTAGGTCTGTGTGTTCTATATATATTAACAAATGGATGTAAACAATGATTTACTCTACAACACTTAGGCGTGCGTAATTATTGCATAACCACTCAACAGTAAACGTACCTGTGAAAGTGTACGGTTTCTCGGGAAATTTCAAAACATTTGAATATTGAATGGACCGTCAGACGCAGCTAAATGTATGGTTTTCTATATACATTTAGTAATTCTGCTTATAATATTTCAAGCATGAATGTATAAAACCGGAAGATATACCAAAGTTCACTTAATAAACAGACTGGAGAGTGCAGACCACGGACAATTTTTTCTATTTTAGTGATACGTCCATCGTCCTTTTTATGGTTAATGCGAGTGCCGGGTGGTGAGCCGTGACTCGTGAGCTGCGGTGGACACTAAGTACGATTAAATACATATTATACACATATTATATCCATATCTAGCTATTCAAGATTCTGTGATAAAACGATCAGCACCGCCAACCCATCCATTGATAATATAAGCATAGAATAGGTAAAATTTCACCTATTCTGTGATATTAGCAGGTATACTTATATCTTTCACTGTGACGCACTGACGCCGCCTTTGATTCTTGTTATCGACTTTCTAGCCGACCGGACGTCAGTATGATAATAAATAATAATTAATAAATTATTTTTTCTTTCGAAATGGGATTTTTGATTATTATGTCCATTTATTTTTGAGGTTTTAAAATATAACCAAATTTTTAAGGATATTGAATTGTATGGTACTATCGTCGGGTTATCTCAATAACCGGTGAGTTCAGAAGATATATGCATTTTCATTTCTAATTACTTAGACATTTTTAAGTAATGGATTCTGACACTGAAAATCGAAGGGAAGAAAATAGTGATGCTCCCAGACATACTTTAATGGGAAAATGCGTTATGAAAACCATAACTCATCCCCTGGATTATGCTAGATTTTTGGTGCAGGTAAGCCATAATGAAATATTAAGAGTTATATGGTTATATAGTTACTAAAACCAGAATACTTATTATCTTTATTATTTCTTTTAATTATATTTGTTTCAAGTTGATATTAAATAATGTATTTATTTTAAAGAAAATATTTAAAAATATTTACGAAGAATTTGTATAAGAAATATCACATGTTTAATTTTGTAATATATTAATTGTTAAGTATGTTAAAATAGGTCCTTATATCCAATATTTCAGTATTTTTTTATGTACAAAAAACCTACTCCCCTTTTAAAAAGTAAAAATAAACTTTTATATGGTCGGATTATAACTTTTGAATTTCTGTAAATAATATAGATAATCGTATTGATAGGTCTCGCATACTAAGCCCGGTAATAGTGTAACACAGGTAGGTCATAAAATAAACTCAATTTTTGCTTGGTAGGTTTCATACTTAACAAAAGCTATTTACAATAATCAATCATATCAAGGAAGGTAATAGAAAATAGAAAACTAAAAATAAAATTGAATTTACTATAATCTTGTAAATAATAACAGTATTTTGTAGTATGTAAATTATGATGAATTTGATAAATAAAATAAAAGGAACACAAATTATTTTATTACATACATATAATTTGATTCTCTTAAAACTAAAATAATTAAACCAAACTATTGTTTCATAAATATCAAAATATTTTTTTAAATTAAAAATCTATATACCAACATTTACCTAGGTATTAGTACAAATTTTTGAATGTCTAATTATTTTTAATGTATGGTATTATAGTATATACTCTGGTCTCTGGTTTATTTGATTAATATGATTTTGTTACTGAACTTTCTAAATGTAATATTATTTATTTTTAACAGATTGGCCATGAACCAATGGCACCGTATCGCCACAGAAGTATTTTTGGTGAAGAACGATTGTTCCTGCCGAATTTGGTAGTTTATGGTAATAAATGTCTACATTTAAATATAAACACCTCTGAATTTCTAGCTCAAATTAATTATTAATCAAATTGTTGTGGTTTTGACAAATGTTGTCAAAATTCTAATTTAAGACTAATTAAAATAATTGTAGATTTAAGCTCAACTTTTTTTTTGATTTCCACCAACAATTATGAGGAACTTTCAAATTTCAAATTTTACGACCAAGCAAAAATAATTTTATTGACAATTATTAAAAAAATCTGATAAAAGTCAGAAATTATTTATGCCTAATAGTCAAAAAAATGAAATAGTATATAGAAAATGCCAGTTTAAACATTCAGTGAGAATGTCATGTATCCACATTTTTGTAAGAGAAAACCAAATTTGATTTTTCTCTAAATTCCAGTTTTTCCTTAAGTTTTTTTTGGTTTTCCTCATGGTTTTAAAAATTACTGAGAATTTTCCATTATGAACTCTTAAACCAACTAGATTCCCTACCAGCAAAGTTACTGATGCTGAAAATCGAAGCATTATTTAAAATACTTATTGTGAACACAGACACAAAAAAAAACACATTGTAAAATTATTACTTTCATTACTCCACTTGGAATATAAAAGGTAGTCAAATTGCTACCGATCTGCTGTACAGTAGGTTTTGAGTGGATTACTGTATTAGTTTGATTTAAAATTTAGAATTTTAGAATTTTTAGAATTTTATGAAACGATAAAAAAAAATTAAAATTAAAAATAAATTAAATATTCATCGTTTCACTCAGAATCTAAAATCAAAAATGTAGACTGATCGATCTCAAGTAGACTTGACGACAAATTCAAATCTGTTTTCAGAATTCTTATCGCTTCAATTTATCAATCGGTACTTTTGCCGAAAAACACCTCTGAATTCTTATGTTGCACGTGTGTTAGACAAAGACAGTCGTCACCGCCACCGATCCCCTTAAGCTTTTTACACCTCACATTTATAAAAAAAAAAAATGGTAATTTCAAATGTCTTTTAGAAAATGTATAAAAAATGACAAATAAACATTTTGTCAAAATTTAAAGTATCCTCAGACCATGATTTTGTTTTTATGTAAAAATTGGAGTTTCTCCTTCATTGTTTTTATTTTTTCCTGTTATTTCGATAAGTATTGAGAACTTTTTACTTTTAACCTACCCCTACCTACCCTCCTCATTGAAAAATCTTTTGTCTGCTATTGGAATAACGTGTTATTTTCCACATTATTATAATGAGCTATGTATATAATATTATGTGTACGACAAAAACTATAGAATAAGAAGGTACTCAAGGTGACTAAAAACAATTTTTTTTTTCAGCTAAATACATTTATTCAGTTGATGGATTTAAAGGAATGTATGTCGGATTAGCTCCTAAGATCATAGGCATTTGTATTGAACATTATTCGTCGTCACTAATGTCTGATTATATTCAAATTGACAAAAATCTAAATGTAGATAATACAGATTCAGATTTAGAAGTGTAAGTTAACAATATAATTTTTAGTATCAATTATAAACTAATTTGAATACTCTTGGTGATAAAATAATAATTTGTATTTTTAATATTATACACTTGAATCCGGACTGCATTTATTATAATATTACCTCCAAACACAATTAATCCACTTATTTGTTACTTTTGTCTATTTGAGTTTATAATTTAATATATTTATTAAACCATTTCGATGTAGATGGAAAAAATGTGCAATCAAAACATCAAAGGAAATGATATGTACAGCCACAAGCATCATTTTGAGTCATCCCTTACACATTATTTCTATGAGAATGATGGCCCAATTTGTGGGTTATGAACATCGTTACACGTGAGTTTATTAAAAATAATTTATCTTTTTTCTTACTTATTATTAAATATTATCATTATATTATTTAAATGATAATGATTTATGTACTTTTCTTTTCACTTCAGTTTAGTGTTACAATCAATTTCACTTATTAGTCGTGAAGAAGGAGTAAAAGGACTATTCACTGCTATCATTCCACGTCTTTTAGCTGGTTTGGGAACTGTAATTCTTGTCAATGTGGCAAAACAAGCATTTTCACGTTATTTATTTGATCCTTCACCTTTGACATTGAACATTGCTGATTTTACCGCTTCGGTAAATTAATCTTTATGCTTTAATTATAGTTAGAATTTTAATTTTATTTAGTTGGAAGAGAAATTCTAAATGACATTAAAGTGTAACAGAGTACATTGCGACCAAAATTCGTCCAATTTCGCATTCACATCAAGACCTGCCGGCTAGGTGGTAACCTAGAATTTCCTAGGTTTAGTACCCTTAAAGGAGCACACAACACAAATAAAAAAATTCTTTAAATTTTTTTTAAATGTTAAATTATTGTAGTTATGGTTATATGAAATGATTTTGTGAAGATACGATGTAAAAAAAAATATTACTTTAAGAGATGTAGAATAGCCGCGTGACGTCACTGGGCCGGAGTTATCGTAATTGCCTATCTTATACGTGTAAAAGTTCCTGGCTTCACACAACGATTTATCAACCTAAATATTTTCTTTTTAAAATTTAATTGACGTATAAATGTGTGGTTTTATGTGTTTAAGACGATGCAAGAATCAGCATTTCAATATGACGTTTAGTTTTTTAAGTATTAAAAATCTTAAAACAGACATTTTGGTTAAACGGCGGACCCGTTGTTCGAACCCCACGCGCCGCTCGCCATGACGTGCGGTTTAACCAAAATGTCTCTTTTAAGATTTTTAATATTTAAATAACTAAACATCGTATTGCAATTCTGATACTTGCATCGTCTTAAACACATAAAACCAAATATTTACATGCAAATTAAATTGCAAAAATAAAATGTTTAGGTTGATAAATCGTTGTGTGAAGCGAGGAACTTTTACACGTATAAGATAGGCAATTACGATGACTCCGGCCCAGTGACGTCACACGTCTTTTTTCAATTGCTCATAACTTATTGAATAATGTGAGTAGAAATGTAAAATCTATACCATTATCCTTAGAATTGAACATTCTTTCAAATAAAAAAAACTTATTTTTTGTGTTGTGTGCTCCTTTAATTTCTTTGGGTACGAAACCACGGAGCTCAATCATTTGTATGCCCGAAAGAGTAGTGCTCTCTCATTGGTCCGAGTATAAGTGACTCCCTTGGGAGACTCCAAATGTAGTGGAAAATAGTTAAGACTTTATACCAAAGACATTAACCCATTGATATCTGTCCCTGAGATATAATTTAAACCAAGGCATAAGAGGTTCACCAATTCCAGACTCACCAAGAACATGAATAAGTGCTTTATGATTCACTATTATGAAAATCTGGGAATACATCTTAGATTCTGAACTTGTGGCATGTATTGGTTTTACAACGAAGTGTTTTTTTTTTGCTAACATGATTTATAGCAAAAAAATTTGCTTTGATTCTCAACTCCAATTTATTTTCTGGTAGGAAAGTGTTTCTAGTTTATATTTTTAGGATGTACAAATTAATAATTCCCAGTATTTTTTTTTAAAATTGGAGAAAATGAGGGAAAACTAGAATTTTTAAGCTTAACCAACTTTAGACAAAATTTGAATTGTAAAACTAATAAGAATGTAGACACTTGAATTTTTCATTAAATGTTTATGTAATAATTTTCTAGGTATTTAACCTTTAAAATTTTTTTTTTATAAATATCTTTACATAAAATATTTCCTCAATGATGGTACACTCGACACTTACTGTACAGCAGAGTTGTTACCTACTTTCTTCCTTGTTTACTTTAAACACCAAAACTACTAAATAAATTTAATTTTCCAAGAGAAACCATCTTTAAAGTAAAAGATTTAATTGCTTCTAAAATGGTGTAAAAATAATATTCACTGTTAAATCAATAAATTCATTGTTCAGCTTAAAACCTAAAGAAAATTGGTGTATAGTAAAAATATTTTGAATTAAAAATTTTGCTTTAAACAATAACATTTGTTTACTCTTATTTCAGTATTTAGCCAATGCAGCTACGTATCCATTTAATGTTGTAACTGCTTGTACAGCAATCAACAACTGCGGGTATGTATGGATACTTAATTTGTTTTATTTAATTTAATAATATGAAAATATTTTTTTGAATAGGTTAGCTGCTGGCATGCCTCCAGATATGCCTGTATTTGGAAATTGGTTGGACTGTATGAAATATCTGTACAGAAATGAACAGCTGAACCGCGGATCATCAACTTGGTTCAGACGTGTTCCACAAACACAATCAAAACTCCTAAAATTGCTCTAATTTAGGCGCCTAGTCATTCTATGTTGATTGTTATTTATATGTACAAAATGAAAATAAGTTAAAATTTTAGTAAATATTTTTAGCAGAACTGGAAACATAAATAGTATTGTATCATCATATTTTAAATTGCATTTTTATTATTATTAATAATTTAAACATTTTATGCAGACCAAAGTTGTTATTTTTTTTTTTTTGTAAATATTTGAAAGGCTGAATACTACATTTTTAAATATTATGTAATTTGTTTAATACAAACTACAAAATTAATACAGTTTCCATTCATATATAGTATATACAAACTTAAATTTCATTAAAGATGGTGGTCTGTATAGAGGATATATGTGCAGTTTTGGAATTTTGTTATCTATATCAGTGGTGTAGTGTGAAATTAAGAGGCAAGGTCCACTTAAGTGGCCGCTATACCCGCATGTGTTGTCTCCGTTTTACAAGTGCATAACAAATCAAATATTACATTCAGCAGATCACGTTTAGCTCAGTTAGCTTAAAAATTAAAGTGAATTGACCTCTTAATAAATTTAAAGGTAAGATTATTACGGAGGGCTACTCATGGGCTTTTTATTATATTTTAATTTTAAAGAGAGTGATGAGTATTTTAAGTTGTACAAACAATTAACGATTTTTATATACTCATAACTAAAAATTAACTACTGAAAATTTGATATGTTATGCACTTGTAAGACGGAGACAACACATGCAGGTATAGCGTCCTCTTAAACAAAAAATAAATTATTAAATAATTTTGCTAGTAGGTAATTACTAAAAAAAAATCATAATAATGATAATTGTTTTATAAGATTTAAATCTGTTTATAACCATAACATTGCGTTCTTGAAAGTTAACATTTTGAAACCTTTGTTTGATTAAAAAAATAACTTCTTAGTTTTTTTTCTTATGCTATGATATAAGTACTATTGTCTGCAAACTTAGGTTTACCTAAATGCCTAAATATTCCACTGATCTATGCAGCTGGTTTCATCATGTCATAATTTTATCACAACTTAAAGTTATGATATATTTTTTTTTTATATTGAAAGTATTGACATTTGTATATTTTTTTTCTATATACTTATAAATGTATTTAATTTGGGAAAACTCAAATAAATAAATAACTTTACATTGTTCTACAGATAGTATGTATGGTATGCATTTTGTTTTTAACATTCACATAATGCACTTTTTGCAGTTTGGCATTGCTGACTTGCAGGGAGTTTTTTATCTTAGTATTTATTTTTAGATTACTATTTTCCTGTAGCAGTTTAGCTAATTAAGGAACTTAGTTTTTATTAACTAGGAAATTAGTAAAGTTACAGTAGTCTCGCTAATCCGGATTAAACATAATGACATTTTTTTTTACCTTCCTGATAAATATAAACAAAAAATTTATACAATTCAATATTTATTGATGTACAATTTAACATTACCCATTATTATTGTTATGATTATGATATATGTATTACATATGTACATATATCAATACAAATTTAAAGAAAGTAAGACTGAGCCCACTGAAAAAATAGTACAAATACAAATACACAATAAAAATTTAATCGGAAACGATAATGTCTTAATCATGGGTATTCCCGAGTATAAACATTATACGTGAGTACTTAAAAACAAAGTATAGACTGTCCGAATTAGTGAGACTACTGCACTTTGTTTATTATTAATATACATACAACTTATAATTTTAGGGATAAAATTGCATGCCATTGGCTATAACAATCAAACTTGACAAATTCAAAAAAGGTACAAAGCAAAGTGCAAGAGAAGAAACAAGGGCCTAGGGACTTTATGAATTTGCCAACTAATCTTCCCGATAAATTATGATGTTGCATATCTTTCCAATTCCCTTCCAATTTTTCGATGTAACTACAAAAGGTTGCAAATTATGAAAAATAGTGTGTTCGAGTTGTATACATTTGGCCCTACTAATTTTAGTATAGCAATTAATGATTACAGTGAAAATAAAGTTGCAAATTTTTAAATCTAGTAAAAAATTGTTATAGTTATGACGTGGTGGGACGAACTTCACTCATCGTTGATCTATAAATATATAATTGAATTGTATAGGGTTTACAGACTTGGTAAGTACTGAACTAATTAGCACTAAATTTTGTACACATATTTCTTGAGACTCAGGAAACGTTTATAGCTATATTTTTCAACCACTAAAATATTGATCGACATAGAGTGGTTAACACATGAACTTAGTTTTGGTTCACAAAAATCAAATACTTTTTGCTGGTAGATGGGGATTCCTTCGGTATATAAAATATAATAGACTTATATAATCTACATGACTATATGCAGCTTATATACTCAACAAATATACTGCTCCACCGATTTTGACGAAAAATTCTTAGAAAATGAGGAAAGTTTAGAAAGTAGTTCAACCCTGTTCAAAAATATACTAAATACTTTATCCATTTCGCCACAGGCAATTATCCATCTCAGTTGAATTAGTTCACAAAGCGTAATACACTGACGCCAATTTGTCCATAAAATAAAGTGCTTACATTAAAACTGAGATACACCTATATAGAGCATATTTTATATTGATCATATTTTCAGGGGTGAAGTTGGGATATAAAGCTAGTTATAAATAGTAATTTTAATGATCTCATGTTAAATGATGTGCTAAACTTAATGTCTTCATTGTACCAAAACATATGCGACTAAAAAACAATTTAAAATACACAATAATGATGTACATTTACACCTTAAACCTTATAAATGTAAATTGTGCGAGCTATCATTTGGAATGTCAATAGCACTCTTCCGACATCGTCGAAAAGTAATGTATTTCATATGTTATCAAAACCCATAAATTGTTCAAGAAGAAATACAGTTATATAAACATTTTTGTTTTAGGTACACTGAAACAATGATTTCTTAGAGGACAATTGTGAATGCATACAATTAGTAGGTAGTGGTGGTGGGGTCGAGTTGTCCAGAATATGGTATATTGGTGGAGGATTACTAGTGTAAAATGCTAGTTTAGCCAACACTACAAGTCCAATTCAATTACCACACAACAGAAAACACTTTGGTAGTATAGAATATGTCATTTAGAGTCAAGTGATATCATTTTCAAAACAGTAATACCAAATTTGGATTTTTAGTAATATTAAATTTAAGAACTGATTAATATTCTTGTGCCATTTGGCAAGTAATCTAGTGTTACACGCCTGTAATTGTTGACACTGTCCACCGTTTTGCAAACTTCAACATGCAATTATTTTCCTGTAGCATTAAACCGTTTCAAGCTTCTTTGATAATATATAAATGTGTAAGTATTTGAATTATTTAAAATATTTTTTCTTTATTTATAAAAATGTAGTTGCTCGTTAAATTGTATAAAAGTATACTTAATAAAAAAATGTATAATATAAAAAAATAGTATCAAAAAATTTATAATGATGTCAACCCATGCAAAGATAATTGGTTTTCCAAAAAAAAATCAAATGCGGTGCTGGAATAATAATTATGAAATATTTTAAATAAATAAAAAATAACTGATTATGTTATATGAATAGTTTACTTACAGTCCATAGAACGATATTGGGATTGGTATTTTTTTTTTTTTGGCGGTGGTTGTGTAGTGTGTGTACACAACTGCCAGATGGACGGGGTTTTTTTTTCAATTTTTATGTCATTTATATTATTCTTTTTTTTCATGTAATTCTTTAATCTTGTAGTTATACAAATTAAAAATATTATTTATAATTGTATTGAAATACACTTTCTATTATGTTAGTTTTAGTTTTTATGTTCGTTTGACCGGCTAACTTAATATTATTATATTCTTTTATGTTCAAATTAAACATTTTAGTATTCATCTAAGATAAGAAGGTTATTATTATTATTATTTAATATATCATAGATAATTTGTGATAAAAGTATTTATCTTTTTATTTAGCTAAAAAATATGGGAAAGCCCAAATAAAAAAAATATATATATTCTATAGAAAGATTTAAATACTTTAAGTACCATTTACGAAAATAATAGTTTTGAATAGAATTGGTAGTTCTGTACACATTTATCCTAATCTAATATTAATTACATTTTTTCAAAAATTTCATGAAATCCACAAGAAGTGCAAGTATGTTCATAATTATCTTCTTCTTCATTATATATTTCTGTATCATATTCATGTTGATGAGAAGCTTTTGTGACTTTGGTATATAAACTACTTCTAGTTGACATTCTTAATTCTGAAATAAATTATTATCATAAAAGTATCATGTATCATAAATTATTATGAAATATTCACATATACCTTTGACTTTTTTCTTAAAAGTTTTTAACTTTGATGCCTTTTGCTTTTCTTGTCTTAATTCAATTTGTCGTTCCACTTCTTCTTCAGAACCCCAAACTTCTAATGCTCTTTTTTCCACCTATAAAAAGAACATATTCACATATGTTTTTTGTTGACATGTTACAATATCAAAATTGTTTCAATCCACTTACTTGAAGTAAAAGATATAATTTCATTTCACCCCATCTGGAATTGTGTGGATTTTTGCCCAGAATAAACCTAAGTGGGGGTGAGCGTAAATCAATATCACAATCTTTTAATAAATATTCTTTTTTAGCTTCTGTCTTGGTAATTAAATCAAATTTTTCTTTTCCAAATTTCTCCCTGTTAAAACCAAGATATGATAGTGTATAAATGGGAAATATATATAGTTAACATTTAAAATTTACAATTTAACCTCAACTATAGTAAATCCTGTAAACACTTTTTTTAATTTTCAGTGGTAAATATATAACAGTTTCACTATAATACACTAAATGTCTAAATTATAATCGAATTTTTTTTTAAGCCTTCATTTATATGTATATTACATACTTGCATCTATCACAGACAGGATGGTCAAAATTTGTCATTAAGTACGAAATACCAAATTCATGATTACATTCAAGACACATAGGCTGTTCAGTTTTTGATAATATTGGATTTGGTGTTGATGCTAGTATTATCTAAAATAAATAAATCAAATAAATATTAATTAGTTTCAAAAAGGTACTTGTGTTAACTTCAATAATAACTAACAAAATATATCCACTTTATCCAAGTAAAAATAACCACATTTTAGGATGTGACCTACCAGAGATTTTCAGATTTAGTTTGTGACTTATTGGGAAAAAATGTATTTAATATAAGTAATAAAATATAGTACAATTGTATAAGACATTGAACAAAACGAACTTATTTTATATTGGTATTTCTTATTGAGCAGTTAGCTTTATAACATTTTAAACCTTAACATTTTAACATTCAGCCTAAGGTATGGTAAATGATTTTAATTAGTATCCTACAACTTTATTAAGACCTCAATTTTTAATATTGACCATAATTATTTAATGGTTTATGTACGGGTCCCACCTACAAAATGTAGACATTTTATGAATGATAATAGCCAGTATGTTTTGAACAGTGGTGTGATTTCCATTCATCAGATACCACAGAAATCCCCAATAAAATTTCTCTTTGGATAACTTTAATCAATTTATTATCTCAGTTTCTTATAAAATTACAGTAGTTCATGGCAGGGTTACACGCTAAAAGATTGCCAAAAGAAATATTATCAAATTATACTTGAAACACATAAACATTTTCTACTTACATTTGTAAGTAACTGTGTATAATGACTAAATATATATTATACACTAATATACACAGAATGATACATAGTTATGTTACAAATGTATATGCATTTACAAATTAATTAATTAAATTAAATTCAGCAGTATTACGGTGGTATTTTTTTCCAGTAAAAATGTTTTGGTTGTTTAAAGATCTCGATAAATTTCAGCCCACCTTCAGAAATTATCTTACAAATTATTAATTAATCTTAAACTCAATCATTAATCATACCAGTTTATTTTTATCTGAAAGATCATCCTCGTTCAGCAGAAATCCAGCTTCAGTGTCTACATATGATTGACCGGCAACTGTGATTTGAAGACTTTTATCTATCTTTGACTGATGTGATATGGGTCTATAACAAAAAACGTTAATTATTAAAATTTAAAGTACGTAACAGCTATAAATCCATATTAAATTTTAAGCATATGTTTTAAAAATAAATCTTATACTTTTGGTAAGGTTGTACAACTGATCTAGCTTTTAATTTTTCATGTCTTATTTGCAATGCTTTTTTCCTATTTTCTTCTATGCGTTTTCTCTGATCTTCTGTAAGTTCCATTTTATACGAGGATTCCTATTTCAAATATTATAATTATTGCAATTCCGTTGTGTACAATGGACACTGGTTCCGCGGTTCCTTCCAATAGTTTTAGGAAACAATAGGTAATTTTGTAGGTAGTATTGAAAATGGAAAATAATAATAACACATTTGCACTTTTAATAATTGTTCTATTCTGTGTTTTAATAGTTATTTATAGATTAATTGATTGATTGCGATCGACAATTACCATATTCTACTATGGACATTGGACAGTTAAAATTACATAGAACATAAATGATAATTTTATGTTAAATGACAATTATTATTCCACTATAAGTTAATAATTAATCATTTTTTTTAATACCAAAAAAGAAAAATAGAATATATCAAATATTTAATATGAAATAATGACTGAACTAAAAAGCACGAACTAAAGTATTGAGATTTAAGACCTTATGGCTAAATCTTAAATCGTAGTTCGAGCATAGAAAGGATGTTATAAGTTCGTAATATTCGAGTTGGTACTTCAGAATAAAACGACGGATCACGCGATAAGTAAAATTTAAAATCTATGAAGAGTGAAGACTTCACAATTCTCTTTTTAAGAAATAACTTAATGCTTATCGTTATCTACAGTTACCAGTTACCGTGGAATAGCTGGTGTACCACAAACCAATGCTCGAAACGGCACACTCAAATACATAAAAACATGAATTTTGTGAGAAATGCTGAAAATGTTGCTCAGCTTGGACGGTTTTTTGATAATACGAAATAAAATCATTAAAATCTGAGAAAGCTCAAAATTGTACAGCTGTGTTGCAGCCCTTGCAGGCTGGCGGTAGTATACTTGTCTATGCTGACGGCTAAGTCGGTGGTGCTTACATATTGATTATTAATTCTGTACAGCCTATGCCGTCGCTGAGAGGATTTCAGTTTCAGTAATATAAAAAATGTTCTTAAGTTGGTTCGGTGAAATGATTCTTTTCAGTGAAGATTTTCCTGAATAGGAGATAAATTGAACGAGGTAAGCGTTTAAAGATTCTGCCCTTTGCACTCACTCTCTCACACACTCACTCATTCTCTCACTCTCTATCATTCTCTCTGTCTCTACTTGGATGAAACTATGACGGTACGGATCATAATATATTATATGTAATTATTATAAATAGTTAAAAATCTAATATTTAATATTATCTTATATTTTATTTAATGCTTAAATTTTTCTTAGAATCGTTTTTATTTGTATAACATGTTTTTTGTTTCACAATTAGGAAAGAGAAAATTAATTAGTAATACTATTCTTTAACATGGATTTATGTAATGAAAAATTGTAATTTTGTTGTATCAATTAATCTCAATAGATATAAAAAAATCAAATATATTAGGACAGTCAATAATTAATGGATAAACAATAATATACCTATCACAATATTGTATACTGGTAAAAATGATATTTGTGCACAAGCCTTAACAAATATTAACTATCATAATTTTAAAATAACATTCCGGATGACATATTTTATTCCCTAAGTACTGAATAAATACATTAACGCTTACTATTAAGGCATTGTTGTAAAATTAAAACATAAAATAAAAAAATATATTTTAAGACCCTTACCCTATCTTTAAAGTATACTTACTTAGAGGTATTTCAAAATTAATTTGCCTATCTACCCAAGTTTTTTGAAATTTGTGATAAGTAACTGTTAAGGGATAACTTAATAAATTTCAACCATAATTATAATTTGGTATCTACTTTATAGAAAAATTATATCATACATTGTGGTTGGTAAATATTCAATAAACCACTCACCTTCCTAATATATTGATGATGTATTGCACCAAAAATTGTATCCACAAACCACTTTTGTTCTTACCTAATAATAGTATTTCTAGGGTCACAACATTTCATCATTAACATAAAATGATAATTATGAAGAATAATTAATTGTAACATACCTTATGCAAAACAATAATCTTTTATATTCTGTACTATATCTTCATTATTGTATTTATTTATTTATTTTATTACATTATTATAATTATGTTCAATATTATCTATCATAAAAAAATGACTTTTAAAATAGATTACACTCAGTAAATATATGTATTTATGTATTTAATAAAAATGTTAATTACAGAAAAACTCCATCTACATATATTATCATTTAATATACAGTATAACAACTACGAGTGCATGCAATTTTGTATTACAAATTTTGAATTTTTTTGTTTGCTTATACATATTAAATCATATTTTGAACTTATTCGATAATATCATAGTTGAAAAAATCAGTAAGTATTATTCGTATTACCTGCTGATATTAAAACATTAATAGAAGAGAATGCCACGATTTATTTAGATGTTTTTACTAAGAATAAATCTTGAACTCACTTATTTGGTAATTGGCACTTAAATTGTAAAATATTGTCCTAAAATGGTGATTGTTATACGATTGAATAAAAAAATTGGGATTTCCTTCCATATTTTTAAGTCTCAACTTTATAAAAATTTTAAACTTTATAATACCTAAATGTGGTTCCTTCGATTCTTTTAAACCTGACATTGATACCATTTCTGATTCATACTTGATTTAAAAAGTAGAATAAACAGACTTTTTGTCCCTGTCAATTATTAAGGTAGGCCTCGAGAGTTATAAGACATTATTTGACCATAGGATATTTGGGAAAAGAATAAGTGATTTGGATGTAAATAATATTAATATGGTTTTGACATTTTGAGTTGAGAATACACAGTAACTGAAATATCAAAACATAAATAATTATGTAAATGTATTTGTATTGTACCAAAATGTATTATATTATTATAATATATTTATATAGTTTCCTTATATTATTTAAAATTTAAAATTGTATTGTAGGTTGTATATTTTATACTTATAAATTAAATTGACATTTAAAAAATAAAATAGTGATTTAAAATACCTTGGGACCAAATGTCCTATCTTAATAATTTATGAGAATGAAACGTTCTCGATTAAAAAATATGCAATACCATTATTTACAATTAACCCAGTGTATACAGCAAAATGTATTGTTAATGCAGATAAACTAAATAATATTAAGTTAATAATATAATTGTGTTGTCCATGAAAGTATGTGCAGTAAACAATTCTAATGATTTAATTAGTTTAGACTGTTATTTCATCAATTGTTGTCATATGTGACATAAACTGAAACAACCCAATATAAAAAATATTTACATAGTACATACTTATTTTAGATATGGCATAAAATTCATCATATCAGTATATAAATTAAGAAAAAAAAAGCTAATATTAAATAGGTAAACAGATTGATTCACCATGCATGCTTTTTACCTCCCCCTTTAATCCTTGAATAATATTATTATTGAAATTCTATTTTTTGGGATTTTCATGTGTAATATCTAAAGACTATAATTTCAAATGGGCATTTTGAGTTTTTATACATTTATACAGAATATTTTTGATATAAAGTAATTTTTTGCGTTTCATTGTTAATCAGATGATTCTTTTGAAATATTCCATATAATATTATATAACAAAAAAAACTAGTAACTTCTGAGTTACTTAATTGTATACACTAACCATGGGTATACACAGACTCTGGTTTCAAGGGCAGCATGAGATTAATCTGGCCCATTTCTAATAGTATATTTTAAAAATAAAGCTTTTGGTGTCCGTTTTCAAAATTGGTCACACAAATTATTGGCTTAGTAAAAAATGCAAAATTAATATTTTTTTCATTTGGTGGGAAAGGGGCTGCTAAGCTAATTATTGAGAAGCAGGAATCCTATAAGAATTCAAACTATATGAGTGTGGCAGTAGAAATGTTTCTACATATTTAAAACAAAATGTGTATTAAAATAGTTTTTAATTATGCATTTGAATGTACATAATTGTATATAATTTTGTGGATGTAAAATTTACTGCGGCCCGTAATTCAATATTTAAAGAAAAGTTCAGGAGCAGCATATTATGCTGCATCTGCTGCCCCTGTGTTCACGCTCATCCTATTCATAACTCAATGCATTTAGTTTTATATAAAAATATAATATATGTAATATTTAATCCTAGTACACAGACAATTTTAAAAGTGGTAAAAGTCCTTACACCATAATAACCTATTGTCATGGGCCTTCATCTTTTATTTATTTATTTTTTTTTTTATGTTGTAAATCAACGGGTATATACCCTTTTCCAAATTATATAAAGGAAACATATCAGATAAAAACTTAAAACTAAATAAGTGTAGTAAAACCTAACAAAAACATATAAAATTATATAAAAATAACTCTGAATTAAAAGTAATAAAAATATAAAATTATAGTTACATTATAAACATTTCTTTTTCCATATTAATCAATATTTTTTATAATAACATAGATTTAGATTTAAAACAATTACGTGAGAGAAAAAATTCATCTAAATGTATACAAATTTTATTAGCTAAAATTAAAGCTTGAGGGAAATAAGAATTGGTACCACTATTCGTTTTATAATGAGGAACTAAAAATAAATCTAAATTACGTGTAATTAGATATTATGGATTTCGAAAGCTGATTTCAGCCAACAATTCGGGACACACAATATTGTAATTAATAAGATCATTGGCAAACATAATATCAGTTAATTTCCGTCTAAGTGAAAGAGAAACAAGGCCAAAATAATCTTGAGTTAGATGGAGAGAGTACCTAGATAATTGAATATTCGACAAGTATGAAATCCTTTTAAAAAATGTATATTGTACATTGTTCAAATAATTTATATATGTCAAGTATTTGCATGACCAGATTACGGAGCCGAAATCAAGATTGGATTTAACTAAAGATGTATACAAGATTTTTATGCATAACGGATTTTTTAAATTTTTAGTATATCTATTAATAAAGCCTAACATCTTAAACGATTTATTAATCATCATATTATGGTTCGTTTTAAAAGAAAGATCATTTTCAAAATAAATACCAAGATCTTTGATAAAATTTACTCTAGTGAGAGAACACATTTCAATATTATAGTTAAAAAAGATAGGATTTTTTTTACGTATAAATGTTTTTGTATGACATTTATCAGTATTTAACGGTAATAAATTTAATTTACTCCATAATTGAAATTTATTAAGATTATACTGAAGAGATTCAGCATCACTTAAAGAATTAACTGTACAGAAACTCTTCGCATCATCCGCAAATAATAAAATGTTTATAGAACCATCAAGGACTAGTGGGAGATCATTAATAAAAATTAAAAATAGTAAAGGTCCTAAATGGCTGCCCTGAGGAACACCTGATAAGACAGGATAGTCATCAGAAACGTAAGACATAATTTTAACTACTTGAGTACGATCAGAAAGATATGAAAATAACCATTGTAAAAAGTTCCCACCTATACCAAAATTTTTCAATTTATGATTAAGTAAATTATGACTCACCTTATCAAACCCCTTTTGAAAGTCCGTATAAATAGTATCTACTTAGAAGCCTTGATCAAGAGCTTTTACAAGATAATTATGATATAATAATAAATTAGTTTGAATCGAATATTTTGGTACAAATCCATGTTGAGAAAAGCTTATATTATTACACAATAAATTTGATAATTTTTTTGAGATAATTTCTTCAAACATTTTTGGCAAAATTGACATTTTCAAAACTGGCCTATAGTTTTTCACATTTTGTTTGTCACCTGATTTATACATGGGAGAAATGAAAGATTTTTTCCAACAAAGAGGAAAAGTTCCACTGGATAGAGACAAATTAAATAAATAATGTAAAGGGTTAACGAGAGTTTTACAACACATTTTCAAAAAAATTGTAGGAATTCCATCGGGCCCAATACTTGCCTTGTCATTAAGTGAACCAATATAATCTATAATTTCGTGTTCATGAATAATAAATGAATTCAAATTAAAATTATGAAACTGATTATAAAATAAATCATTATTATAATTATCTATAATATTAGTTGTGTTAGTTGTGTATACTGATAAAAATATTTAGCAAATAACTTAATTGTATCATTCATATTATTCGCAGAAATATTGTCCAAAAATACTGAAAGGTGAATATTAGAACGATTAGATCGCAAAGATTTAATATAATTCCAAAACGACTTCTTATACCTAATCCTAAGTTAAATGGGTACCTCAAAAACTAACTGTTAAAATTTTTATTAAATAAGTACTTCTAAACATTCCAAAAAAATCTTATGCCTAACAATTTACATTTAAAAAGTGGTTCTCATTTAAAATACATTTGTGCTGTCATGGAATACTCTTAAAATTGCATACAACATTTAAGGATTTGAAAATACGTATGAACCTTAAGTATACTTAAAAATTCCAAAAACCTAAATTGTTGTTGTATTATTAAACGGGAAAATGGAGTTTTGCATGACTGGTGAATCACTTTGTAATTTCTATGATATGGTTTTTATTTTCTGAACTAACCCAATGATGTATTTCAAAAATAAATATTCTTAACTTTATTGTGTATGATAGAATTTTCATTAATATATAAAAACTAATTTATAGTTTGTACAAATTATTCTTTGCTTAGTAATTATAGTTAAATATTAATATAATGTACATATTTTTACTAGTTTTAATAGTTATACAATATTAGAACAATTATTATTTTAATATATTAAATAATCTTTATAGAACATAAACAATTCAACAATATTGCTTAATGAAAGACTGTAAGTCATATTCAGTAGCACCACCACTGGCAGATATTGCATTGAGAAACATTTGGAATTTGGACATGGCATTAGACGTAAATACTCGAACTGAAACAGTTGAATTATTAAGTCGCGAAGCTGACAGCCTAAAACACAAGCTTGAAGAAGAAAGAAAAAAACTTAACGATGTGACATGTACTTAGCTTGCTATTTAAATTATTATATCTGTTCACTATGTTCAATTCTTATTGATGATTTATGTAATAGTGGCAAATGTTGCGGAACGATTAGAGGAAGTTACATTTCTAAATATAAAACCTAGACGTTTGTTGAAAGGAAACCAAGCTAAAATGTTATGTTGTGATTGGTCTCCAGATAAACGGCATATTGTTTCATCTTCACAGGTACATAATATAAATTTACAAATGTGCAAAAGTGTTTAATAAAATATGCTTGCTTGGTGTCGGTGCATACAAATGCTAGGATGGTAAATTACTAATCTGGGATGCATTTACATCTGCAAAAGAACAAACTGTTACAATGCCAACAACTTGGGTGATGGCATGTGCCTATTCACCATCAGGCAACTTAGTTGCATGCGGGTAAGATTGTATAGGGTAGTTCATTGATTTTTGTAATATATTTTATTTTGAATAATAAAGGAAAAACTATATCAATTATGCCTGATTATCATTATTGTTAATAAATTATTACTTATTAAGTTAATGTAATCATTTAGATTAGATATCAGAACATAAATTATATTAAATAATAAGAAAAAATGTTTGTATTTTAAGTGGTCTGGATAACAAAGTAACAGTGTTCAATATATCCAATCCTGACGAAGATCCGTCTGCTAAAAAGAAAACTGTTGGTACACATACAAATTTCATGTCTTGTTGCTTATTTCCAAATTCAGATCAACAGGTAGTATTTAGTTGTTTATTCATAAGTTAGTATACAATATGTTAACAACACATTTTAATATTATATTCAATTATGTTTTTAAGATTTTGACTGGTAGTGGAGATGCTACTGCTGCACTTTGGGATGTCGAGTCAGGTCAAATGTTACAATCTTTCCACGGCCATACAGGTGACATAATGTCCATTGATTTATCACCATCAGAAATTGGGAATACTTTTATATCAGGTGTAAGTTATTATTTTTAAATTTTTTTTCTGTATTTCAACTAATCTATTTATTAAGTATTATGTGCCATAACTCATAATGTGTACAAAATATATTTGTAAATTGATATACTATCAAAGTTAAAGACAGGTACATCATACTCAATAAATACTAAAATATGCATGCATTTATTAATTTAACTTAAAAAAGCCTCATTATATGCAAAATCATTTAGTATGCTTTTGAAAAACGAAAACATTTAAAATAACATCTGTATCACTAAAGGTAAAAAAAAATATCAATTATCAGACACCGACTGATGATTAAAGTTTTCTGTATTCAACACAACTAGACATAAATCAAGTTTCTGTATGTTTTATAAAATCCCAGATAAAAAATACACTATGGAAAAAAAGCCCACGCAAAAAAATTTAAATATAAATATGAACATATGTATACATAATATATTATGTTATAAGTAATAGTTTTTTATAACTGTAACCAAAAAATCTAAAAAAATATAAGCCATAATATTAAATAGTAGATGCTTTTTATTAATTATTCATAAATTATATTTATTTATCTTTATAGTTAAAATTCATTGTACGTCAAATTATGGATCCAGAGCCAAACCTCAGTACCCTACAGTGGGCTCCTCCCCCATCTATAAAATCTACTAAGACATCTCTCATAAATAAATTAGGTTATCGACGCCCACTGCAGTGATGGATAATAATCTCAAAAATAAGACATATAAAAAGTTAAATATGCAAAAAAAAATGTCTATGAACTCTTAATATAATGAAACATTTTTTTTACCATAAAGCTATATTTTGAATAATTATTTTTTAAAAAATGCTAACATGTCCCATTATGTATATGTTATGAGTGATTTATTATTTTTACAATAATTAGTTTTTTATTGTAATATTTTTTTTTTTTAATTAAACATTTCTTTTTCTTAGAGTTGTGACAAAATGTTACTTTTGTGGGATATGAGAACTGGTCAAAGTGTTCAATCATTTGAAGGTCATCTTTCTGACATAAATAGTGTCAAATATCATCCAAGTGGAGATGCTGTAGCATCTGGATCAGATGATTCTACAGTAATGAAAACCATTCATTTTTTTTTATTTATTGCCTAATGTATTTTTAATTTATTAGTGTCGAATGTATGACTTAAGAGCAGACAAAGAAGTTGCTGTATATTCAAAAGAAAGTATTTTGTTTGGAGTTAATTCTATTGACTTTTCAGTCAGTGGTAAGTTGTATATATAGTAAATGTACGCAATATTAGGTATATATTATAAAATAAGACTTGCGAATGCATGTCCTATAGTATGATAAGTGCCTCACATTAAATTTACTTCCCTATATATCTCTATATCACAAGTAATATATAGTGCTTTACTGATTGACTATGAGGGTTGCCAACCTACCGGTATTAATCTATCACCGACCTATAAAAAGCCGGTATTTCCATCTGATTGAAAGTTTCAATATTAATATTTTAATATTTTATCGTTTTTGTGAAATTGGTTATCAGATATTGCTAAAAATGTTCTGATCATCCACTGCACAATTAAAAAATATAAAACAAATTGTACAGTATGTATTTTCAGTACCATTTTTAGTCACATGTATAGTTTGTGGGCGGATGAGAGTAATCGCTTAGGAGTTGATACTGTTAAAGCCATATTAGTTATAACTAAATTAAAAATAACTTAACATATTAATGTTCAGAGTTTTTTTAAAAAATAAATGAAAAAAATGTATTATATGCTGCAAAAAGTACCGTTAAATATACTTTTCTTGAATGTTTAGTTTACTATTTATTACCTATTTTAATTATTATTTTTACATTATGTAATATTTAATGAAAAGTCACGGAAAATGACATTTTTTTTTACCTTTTGTCGGTGTTTTCAAAATTAAAAGTTGGCCGCCCTATGACTATATAAAATCACAATTTTAAGTTATTTTAATTTATAGCAAATACAGACTGAGGCCCAAAAATATAAGGCAATAAAAAATATAAATTTTTATTAAAATAATGATTTAAACTAAATAATTAATCTCTATTTTCAAATTTATTGTAAACAATACATATAAAAATTACATTCTAAAAATAACACACAGTTAATAACTATAACAACAATTTCAGGGTTTAGAAAATTTAATTAAAAATTATAATATTTGTATGATATATTTTTATACCTACACACATTATCATTAAGTCCTTAAAATGTATTAAACCAAAATAAAGTAACGAACGAGCAATTTAGTAATTTAACTACAAAAAGTACCTTAAATTACATATAAATTACTTACAAAAAAATGTAATTAAATACCATCAAATTAATTAAAAAGTAAATTCATTACAGTAACGTGTAACTTAAGTTAGGTTTAAGTTACTTCCCTACACTAAATGTAGGACAATGGATTGAATTTGATAAATGTAGAAAGAAGTGATATATATTCTCAAAGCACTTACGATCAGTAAGGCTAGATAAATTAAAAACTGCAGGTAGGTTCATTAACGTGTGGAGGACAAACAACTTTTATAAAATAATCAACAAATGACAGGAATTTTCAATGAACCCTTTCAATCCCTATCGTATCTATAGATGAATGACGGTCCCAACGAACGGATTTGTACTCTAGGACAGATCTGACTAAGAGCCAAAATTAAGTAATTAAATTAAATAATATTAATACAATATTTAAATTATGTTATTTAGGTAGAATATTATTTGGTGGCTATACAGATTATACAATAAATGCTTGGGATAGTTTAAAATGTGAAAGAGTGAGTTTATTATATGGACATGAAAATAGAGTTACAAGTATAAAACTTTCACCTGATGGAACAGCATTAGCTTCTGCAAGTTGGGATGCTTCTTTACGTGTATGTATATTCATAACTGATTTTATAACTCAGGAGTTAATAGCTTTTTTTTACAAAAAAAATTTGATACTGAATAGCTACATTTTTTTTTATTATTCAATTATTATATAACTGTATAACTTATATCAAATCCAATGAATGAAAAATTTGAAAACTTAAGTTAATAAAGTATCAAGAATTTCTTTTTAATTATATAAAAATTAATACATTTTTTGAAATAACCATGTTATATGTTTGTTTTAACATGTGATTAACTAATACAAAATGTATTATTTACATAAACAACTTTTTTGTTATAGGTATGGGCATAAGTTATGAAAATTCAAGATTTTGAATGTAGATCTAGTCAGTAATACGTTCCGTACAATTATAAGAGTTAATGTTTACAGATAAATAATAATTATATAATCATAGAATAGTTAAAATATATAAAAATTAATTTTTATTATGCGTTGTAAATTATATTATTTTAAATATTAAAAATTATTCTTTTTGGAATTTAAACAAAAAAATATACAAAACACTGAATTTATTCATCATTTTCTTCATTTTGCTTATAAAACTGAGTAAGTACATCAACATCTACAGGAACATAGAGTACATCAGCATCACGTTTCCATTTTACTAATTCATGATCAACAAATTCAGTTAACTGACTTCTCAAAGCTAGATCTGTACTAGCTAGAAACCGTTGACGGCACCAACGATATAAGGTTGAGAATGGAACACCTTGATTAAATATCATGCATATATTAATTATTTTAAAATAAATACAAGAAAAATATAATTTACCTCCATATTTTTTATCGTTCTTATTTTCAATACGATTTTTAATCAGTAATAATAAAATACTTTTAGCATTGGATGTCAGTGATTTGAAAACATTATTCAATCCTGATAATGAATGTTGTGTTCCAATGTTTTTTACCATTAAGGATTGTATAAAATTAGTTTCAACTGTATATGGTAAAAAATTGGTACAATCCATCCAAATAAAATTGTAATCCCCAAGTTTGGTATTATCAAACACTAAATAAATGTTTGAAAATGTAATATATTATAATAATTTAGGTATTAGATAAATTTCAAACAGATCGATACTAACTTAAAGCAGAATTTACTCTATCCATAGATGCTATTAAATGTACTTTTTTTAATGAACAAATCCTTGAAAGTATATGCTGTGCTTTGTAGTTTTGTAATTCAACACCATCCAAATTGTTTATTAGAATATAAATATGTTCAGAATTCTTTAATTTTTGTTTTTCTTCAATTAGCTGAATTACGAGTTCAGAACTTCCTGGACAACTTTCAAGATCTAATAAATCAATTGTTATAGATTCTAGTATCTATAAAAAATCATGGAACAAAATTTTTAAAAATTAAAGGTGTTAATAACGAAAGAATTAAAAATTATAACGTACTTCTTTCATTGTCAGTCCAGGAAAAAATCCATTAATCACTAATACGGACTCTTCTGCTAACACAGACATTCTAAAATCATTTATAATTTGTCTTTTGGAACCAAATCCATACAGAAGTAAATTAAATCCTTCCCTAAAAATCAAATTACTGTATAACATAATAATTTGAAAACAAAGAATAGTAATTACTTACTTAAGTAAAGACATCCAATATGGAAACTTTGACACAATATCAATGTACATTGACTTTAACATTTTATCATGTTTAATGTAAGACTTTCCTGAGAGTTGATCAACCTGTTCTTTGTCTAAAACAGGGTTTTTCAATAGTTTCAATGTATTATCTGATGTCTTAGACTTTTTCACAGATTTAGCAGACTTGGATAAAAAATATTCATCTGATTTATATATCTAGAAAACATATTGCAAAATAAAAACACAAATATGTAATTGCAATTTACAAAAAAATACTTACAAAAGGAACTTCTTTTTGTCTAGTAGATCTTCTTAAAGGAGTATTAGTGGTCTTTGGCTGACTAGTAAGACTAGTATGAATACTAGAATCACTGTCACTTTCATCACTAATACTAAAATCTGAATCGTTAAATTCATTAAGTTGTTCAAATTTTTGATGTGCAATTCCTGGAAAAGGATAAGTAAATATTTTGTAGACCATTTTTTTTAGTTAATGTGTAGCTAAATGAAGTATTAACCTTTTGCAATCTGTTTCCGAACAGTTCTTGGTGTTTTTGTCAATATATGCTCAGAACTATTCACAGAATGTATTTTTTTTAATTTTTTAGGTGTTTCATGACCAAATTTGGTATCGGTTACTCTTGGAAAGTCTGTCACATTATAATCATTGATTATTAATAATTTATATATTAAATGTACATGTAAACTTAAATAATTTTGTATTCTATTTATCACCTTTGTCTGATACTTTATTTTTGACTTCAGATATAACTGATGTAGCTGTTGTTCTAGTTGTTCTTTTATATGGATTTTTTGATTTAACTTCACTTTCATCATCAGAGAAATCTAAGACAAAAAAGACAAACAAGTGTATATCACTCTGCTTTACAGTAGACGTGGAGTGGGCCACAGTAATGACTGAATGATTTAAATTTGAATTTGTCACCATTATGTGGAGGTTATGTATCAGAAAAATTGTGCCAAAGACAAAACAAGACCATACAACATTGTCTTGAAGGTTAGATTTAATTTTTTAATTTTTAATAATGCATTAGATACATATCATTTTAGAACATAATAAGATGACTCCATAATACTGGGTCATATTTTATCCTTATTTTTTCTTATTTCTTAAACATGCTACAGTTTCAACACATTTGAATTTCCAAAATTTCAATTCTTTTCACTAATGTCAAAACTAGGTACATCAAAAATTACATACACATATCGATGTATGGCTTATGGCCTAGATGTCAGAGCCAAAACTTAGTTCGAGAAAACTTATTTATCAACATAAATAAAAAAAATAATAAATGGCACAAAAAGAGTCAAAATATTTTTAAAATTAACCTAGGTATCAATAGAAAGTGAAAATTTCAAGTATCTAAGGTTATTGGTTTATGAATATAAAATATATATCAAAAATAGTTATTTTAAGGGTGAATATCTAATGTCATAAATTGAACTTCAAAAGCTAATAAGAAATTTATATGACTTTCTGGTAAACATTTTGCTTTTAATGAATAAATGTAGAATGACTCATATGAAATCTTGTATTTAGTTCTTAAGATTTTTACTCTATCAAAAAATTGTTTATCTAACATAGTTGAACAAAAACTAAATAAAATCAAACAATTTCTCATGTTTATAAGTAGCACACAAAAACATGTGCTAATCAAAACATTTTGAAAATTGTATCATGTATGAAAAATGGTAATCCAGTCCAATTTGGTTATTACAATGCTTTATATATAATGATAAATAATTATTTCAGGGTAAACGATTCCCAGCAATGTATTTGATTGATTTTAAATCTTATATGTGTAGTAATTCCGCTTGTATATTACAATATTGTTTACAACTTACAACAATGATCTGGATATAACAATATTATTTTGAAATGAAAATTAACTATAACAATAGTATGTACATATTTATAAATAATAAATTGGATATCAAGATTGAAAACACAAAGTAAAATTTTGAAAACAACCACTACTCAATATTAGAAATCAAGAGAAAAAGGGAGATTTTTTAAGTCTAAAAATGTCTGTATCGGATACAAAAATTATCTCAGATGCAAGAAATAACGTTTTTTACCACTACAATAAGAAATACAAGGTACAGGAAACAGTAAACATAGAAAGAAACAACAGGTGACGATGTTTTTTGGACTAGTGAAGACCTGCACAAAAATAAATTAGTATTAATTATTTAATGATATTATATTTTGTTCAAACGTCTTAATGTTATAATTATTCACTGATTATTTTCAGAAAAAATAGTAAACATAATTACGTTAATAAATCAATTTTATTTTTGAAATCCAGTCATCTAGATATACAACGAAATTCAGATATCTAACAATATTATTACCTAGGTCCCTTGAAGGTTGTAAATCAAACAAAATTACAACTCTTGTATAATACCTTGAATTTTTCTGTACAAGCAAACAACAAACATTTAGAGAAAATTAAGAAAGTATCTAAGAATATTCGTTTCTGAATTACATCAAAAAACAAAACTTTATGGCAAAACAGTATAATAGTAATATATAATATTATATTAAAATATTGTTATCATATATTATTTATTTAATATTTATGTAATAACTTACCTTCAGGATGAATATTACACATTTTTTTATCATCGTTGTTATGATATTGGAGATCTTTGCTATGTTGTGAAGTTTTATTTTTTTTCATACACGTTAGTGTTTTATTTTGTTTGGACTGAAAACTAAACATACGTTCACCTGGCACATCTCCATCTTCAAATAATGCTATAAACAATAATATTTTGTAACACCTGATGGCTATTGGTTGGTAAGTATTACCTTTTAAGCAAGAGCACATTTAAGTATTTGGAGGGCTTTGAATGAAATGGGGGACCCACATATATAAACAGAACCATACATCTTTTGGTACTTATGGGTTAACGCGACTACCACACGCCACATATTTATTATAGCGACTACCGCACACTATGTCCCACTCTACTTCTATTTTTTCCAGTGTTGTTACGATCGTGAAACAAATGAGACATTTTTAGTAGAAGTTCCTGATCAGTCTTCTGCTACTTTAATGTCCAAAATACATCAAAACATAGAGGAAAGAACAACAATTTACTCTGATTTTTGGTGGGCATAAAACGCAATATAAGATAATGGCTACTTGCATTTCATAGTGTATCATTCTTAACATTTTGGGGATCCAAGTACACATGTTCACACACAAAATATAGAAAGACTTTGTGGATCGGCGGAATGGAAAAACAAACGTCATAGAGGTACAGCAAGACACCATTTAAAATCCTACTTGGCAGAAATTACGTTAAGGAATACTCATAATGAAGACCAGTTCAACGTGTTACTAACCTTACCTATTTTACAAATTTTATTCTTATTTGTTTGTATTATTATACACTCTTACTTCTTTGTAAATTATATATTACTATACTTATAAAAACGTGCATTGCAGCATGAGTTTGATGTTTGATATTAAAGTAGTCGCGATAACCCATAAGTACCTATTTTTCTTCTATTTTTAAATTTTTAAAAAATTATAACACTATTCACTATATAATAGTGGACAATAAAATTAGTTTCTACTAATACCTTTTACTTCTTGTGAAGTATAATAACAAATTCACTTGTCGTTGAATTTGTCCAGTCCGTACATAACAATTATGGTTCATAATTACCGATCTAATTGTTTTTATCAACATATTTGTAGTTGACCATCATATTACTATGAATTTTAATATATAATTCCCAACTCCCTTGTATATTAAGTAAAGCACTTGATAATATTGTTACGAGCAATCGATGTGCGGTGATTGCGGACGACACACTTTTAAATTTTAATATCTAGATTCTAGAACACTGCCTATTTATTTGAACGCATATTATATCAATACATTAATACAATATCCATTATATTTTGATAAAACTTTAATTTTAAATGGAAAAATATAGTTCCATTTTGTATGTATTTTAATGTGAGTAGAAATGAAACTAATTTGTTTGTATTTACAGTTAAATAATTACAAAACTGTGGAGGTCCCTGGGTCCACCAACTTCCCTCTAAATCCGAATAATACTTTCAAATATTACCTTTTGGTTTCAGTGTTACATCTGATTCATTTTCATCTAACTCTTCATCATCACTATTTCCATCTAATATTTGATTTGTTTTTTTACCTAAAAATGTAAACTGAATTAAAATGCTAATGTTAAAATAATGTAAATATATATATATTTTAAACTACATAAAACTATATTTTTAATGAACATACTTATATGAATTGTGCTAAAAAATGTATTTTGTATACAAATTAAAATAATTATATTTAAAACTATGTATCAATACAGAGGAAATGTTTTTTTTCCAAAATCTAATGACTATCATGAAATATCAGCGACATATTTTTAATGTTTTCAAGATTTCTAGAAACTTTTCTAAAACTACAATGTAAATGAATTTTATTTCAGATTATTCAATAAATCATGTATAATATCCTTATGAAGGTGAAATTTATATTAATTGATTGATACAAGTTTAAAAAATTACTCATGTTAAATTAAAATGCAATACATTATACCTATTTTATGGGTATATATATATTGTATAACATTAACTTAGTATATTTTTTTATTTTAATTCTGAAGAAACTCAATACACTTAATTACACTACTGATACCTATATAATAATATACCAATAAGCATCATTCTAAATTACTTGCTTTTAATTGAAACTCCAGAGTTGTTTGCAGTGACTTCAAAAGATTTTTTTTTTCTGGTTGAATGATTTTCTGCAAATAAATTTTTATTTTCTATTTTTATATCATGAAACAGTTTATATTCATTATTAATGAATGTAATAATTTTTTTTTTTTCTTATTAGATTCATACTTACTTTCTAGTGTCTCATCTACTATTAAATGAGCAACTACTTGATCATTAATGAACTCCACTTCAATGTCATATTCAGCATCAATACTTGGTAATTCCATTGTAATGTTCAGGTATTTACAATTCCATATTGCAAAAATAACAGTGAAAATTTAAAATAAACCTCATAAGTTAATATTTCCAATTTATTCTCTAGTAGACACCTGTGTTCTTAATTTAGAGTTGTTACTAATCAGTAATGACAGACTTAAAGACTATAGTGGGCACTAGACAGTAGTCTATACTCTAATATCTATGCTATACAGACTAGACAGAAGTGACTTTATTACTTATTTTTTAGGTATTCACTACTACTGAGTAATGACTACTAAGTACAGACTACAGAGTACAGATATGTCAAGACATTGTCTACAGTATCAGCTGGTACTTGGTTTGTTAATTGTTTAGACGTTTATAATATAGTAAATAAATATATTCTGTTTCCCGCGTTTTTTGTCGACATATCATTCATAACCTCAAAAATTAGCTAAAAGCGTTATGTTTATGTTATTTTATTTGGTGAACGGCCACCACGTCCTACTAACTTGAGATTCCCATAGTCCTAAATATGACAAGACCGAATCCGTAGGGTGCTAGTTTATTAGGCTCTATATATTATCCATAGACATTAGACCTATTAACAACTTTGTTAATGGGTCTATGATATTATCGTACTATAGTCGAGACAGTCGTGTACCTAACCCGATTAATTAAGATAGTACCAACTAGAATGATAAATAATGTTTCGAGTTTTCGACTTTTGACGTCCGCATTCCGGTACAAAAGATACATACCATGATAGAATAAATTATTATTTAATTAATTATTTATTTTGTCATGGTACATACTACATGATAAGAGAATAGCACAATTTGGTTTTGGACTCAATAACTATTACAAATTTTCGCTTTAAAGGAAGTAAGGACTAAGGAACGAGTAGCCCGAAGTAGGCAGAATTGTTTCAATTCGTTCCCCCCACTGAACGCGTTTAAAGGAACGAAAACAAAATGATTATTTCTGGCAAAACTTCAATTATTTAATTATAACCTCTTTGACAAGCATTTCTTTTGAATCTCATGATAAGAGGGTTACCACATTATCATCAGAATAATATAAATTGTGTAATACATAGTTGAATACTGTAGTGAGCTAAGTGAGTTTAGTCTTTCATAGTTAAATGTTTGATTCACGAAACTGTGGAGTGCATTTTGCATAAGCAATAAATATTAAATAATGTAAAATCTTTCAATGTTTTTTTATATTTTATGAAATATATAATATTAAAAAAATTTATAAAATGATTTGAAATGTATTAATTATTAAATATACAATGGCAAGTATAAAGACTGAGGTGACCATGGCTGACAACGGTGATGATGACCAGTGGTTGTATGGGGACTCAAATTCAAATCTTGACCCTGTTGGTACATTAGTCGAAGATATTAAACCAGCTGAACCAGTTGGTATTTTAGAAGATGAGGTACTATAATAGAATAATTAGTTAAAAATCATAAACTTTTTAATTTTTTTTTTTCTTGTAGGAAGCACGTCTTATGGAGTTTTTGGCAAACCCTGGACCAGGTAACATTTAAAACTTTATATTTAGGTTTAATCATTTATTTTTTGGATGGTATAACTAATTTAATTGTGATTTGTTGTGATTAAAGAGCATTAAACAAATCTTTTTAACATTTTTTATTAATTAATTAAATTTTTGTTAGTACAGAAAATAAATAAAAATAGAATTTTTTTAATGAATATTGTTATATTATATACCAACTTTTTACCTAGATTTGTTTGTAAAAGGTACAGATAATAATGTTTTATCTTACCGAGAAAGTTCCTAGGTACGATAGCTAAATTTTCTATATTAGTTAATGTTAGATAGTTTGTTTAATATCTATTATTTACAATCAAATACTTTTATTAATGACCTAATATTTTTTTAATCCAAAATATGAATCTGTTGAATTTGAATTTGTATTTTGGTTATTTTATTAAAGGAAGTATAGATGTCCCACCTACTGTAAAAGAATTAGATGACGAGGATCCTAATCGACCTCGAAGTCCAGAAATATTCTTAGGGGGACCAGGAGTCCAAGCTGAGGTACTTGTTAAACGTTCAGAAGATTCATTTGAAACTAACCTGGTAGAAACTGAAACTGAAGTGGGCATTAATGTTCCTGAAAAAGTGGCTGAAGAGAATAATGAAGATAGACAAATATCATCTGAAGATAGTGAAGAAGATAGTGATGACGACATTGTTGTGGCAGCTGGAAATTTTACATTGTCTTCAATGGAAAATAATATGGTGTCACTTTCTCAGCAAAATAATGCAAGCCCATCGACTGCTGGAATAAATTTAAAACGAAATAACTTATTAACATTAACAAATATTCCTGGAATGTCGTCCGGAAATAAAGTAAGTAAAAAAAAAATTAATATTATAATATTATTAATAATAAATATTTATATAGTAACATTAACATCCAAGAATTTGTCAAAAGTTGGTATTAATAAATAATTGCTCATTGCAGAAACACAATCAGATCATTGATTTTGTATACATTAATTAATAGTTATATTAATATGCATATAACATTGTGGCAAGTTAAAAAATGCAAACCTTATAAACCATATATTCCAATAACCAAGATGTTGCTGCTTTTCTTTAACATGCTATAACATTACAACAAATTGTAATTGTTATTACAATACCCTTGTATAATTATAGAAAGTCATACTATTGTGCTAAAATAATTATTTTTGCTTAATAAAATAACTAATAAGATTTTCGGTTATGTCTGATTAATATGGTATGTCAGTTGGCTACTTAATAATCAATGAATCAATAATAATGTCGATGCTGGTGACTGCATAACAGTTTTATACGACATGTTAGACAAACAAAATCATATTTATCTTTAAATGTAGATGTTTATTGATTTTTAGATGAGTGCCGTTACTCATAAATAATCTTTACTCTTCTTGTATGTTAAGATCAAACTCTAATGGTGTCATAATACATTCTGAACTTTTATAATGCAAACAATACATTTCTTGAATTTTTATTTCTAATTTTGTGAAATTATTTTCAAGTAATTGGTTAATACAATTATTATTAAGTATTCTAACTGTTTTTTTTATTTTTGTATGATAATATACATATTAGCATCAAGGAAAATTTAATGTCGAAGATTTTGAAAGTATGGGCACCATAAATGGTGTTCCTGCTCATGAGTATTCTATTGAAACAACTGAAGAAAAACCATGGTTAAAGCCAGGTGCCGATATCACAGGTAAAATACTATTCATTTTGTAAAACTTTGGAAAATATGCACTGTATTAAAGTAACATTTTCTATGAGTTTAGACCAGGGTATTTTAAGTATTTATTTTAATATTTTTTTAGATTATTTTAATTATGGATTTAATGAAAACACATGGTTGGCATATTGTGAACGTCAAAGGAAAATGCGATGTAATGAATCATTAGTTGGAATGTCAACTTTGGCTATGCACAATCAACAAGTTTCTATAAGTGCTACAAATAATAACATGATTCCTACTTTGGATGTGAAGTCTACTGCAAAATTTCAAACACCAAATGTTCCACCAAAAGAAAACACTATTGAGGTACGTATTATAGTGTGATACCAATAATTCCATTGCTCTAATTTAATAGTATATTTTTATTGGGTATTTATTTATTGATAAATTTAATAATTGTACAACATTTATCTAATTTACTGTATTATATATTTAGGTTATGACAGCCGAAAGAAGAGAATACAGTCGTAAACATTTTTCAACTCCTGATTTATCTGTACCACCTCCAATAATTCCAACAAATTTTGATGTTCCTCCACCAATGATTCAAAATTCTATAAATTCTATACCACCCCCTGGGTAAATATAAACCTAAAAAATAATCAAATATACATAAGTTAGTAAAAAATGTAATAATATATGATTTAGATTTGGTCCTCCACAAATAAATGTGCCTTATGAACCAGAATATTATCCTCACGAACCAGATCCATACTATAATGCATTTGAACCTACTCAGGATATGCAATGGAATCAAGTAACTAATTATTTTTAAAACATTTTGTTTAAACTATTTTAACTGTACATTCAACACATGAGACAGCTAAGTTATAAAATATTAAATTATGTGCAATCTGTTAAGTTTAACAGTTTGGGTCTTTTAAACAATAGTTGCAGCCATTTAGTAATAAAATCTGATTGTGCCCTACACCATTAAATCTACTCTGTAACACCTGATTATAATTTTTTTTAAATAATATATTAATATTTATGTACCTATGATTTAACTTTAATGGTTTTTAATACTGCATTTTTGATCTATTAGAGCTGGAATTCGAACGTAAAAAGTATAGAGAACATTCCAACTCTGTCAAATGGAGATTCATACAACAAAGCAAGACCAGTAAAATTATTTGTAGCTTTGTAAATTTATAGCAAGTTTAAAACAGTGTTTTTGTAGGATTTGGTAAGAGATAAAGAATATTATGCATCACGAGTTAAAAAAGAACCAGAAGAAAGGGTATATGAACGAGATCGTGAGAGTCGCAATCGATACCGTGAAAGAGATCGGGAGAGGGATCGTGAACGTGATAGGGACAGAGACAGGGACCGTAGCAGACATAGAGAAAGGTTAGTTATTATTTATTGTTGATAATATTGTAAATATTAAACATTATTATATATTGTATGTACAATAAAATTATTTGTAATTGTTTTTACACATTATTAGTGATGGTGTTGAAAGTCCAGAGACAAGTTATAAAGAAGAGAGGGAATATAAGCACAAGTAATTCTGATTGCATTATTTAATTAGTTTTGATTAGTTTTTCTCAAATTTGGAACAATTATAAAAACATAAATCTTTTTATCAGGTCTCATCGTCATCGCTCTCGAAGTCGCAGTCATGAAAAGCGTTCTAGGAAACACAAGTCTCGTAGTAGAAGTGGGTCTAGACATCGTCACAAAAAGAAGAAAAAGAAGTCTGAGAAGAACAAGGAAGATGATAACAGTGAATAATTTTCTGTTGTCATGGTGTAAATTTAAACATTTTTTTTTTCATTAATTTTATTTACTCTTCATTTCATTGAGTTGTTAATAGTAAATGGTAATTTAAGGGTTATTGCAACTAATTTTGTATTGAACTTATGTTACATGAAGTACACATTTTATCAACAAATAGAATTGAAATTTTCACCTTTGATTATTGCGCTATTATTATTATTATTATTATTATTATCATAAGTAAACGTAAATTACTAAACAATATAACTTTTGTTGTTATGTCAAAAATTTAAATTATACATTTCTTTTTTTTTAATGTTGAACTGTTTGTATAACATAAAAATTAATTAAAATAGCTTTAAAATATACATATTAGTATATTAAATATGCATTACCAAATATTGTCATTTAGTTTTCCATGACTAATAAATAATGGCAATATGGCATGACTTCATGACACTAATGTTAATTTAATATGAGTTTGCAACTTATTTTGCTCAATTGTGTTAAATAAAAGACTAAAATCCATAAAATGTTTACTTTTATTTTACTATTTATACTTTGACAAAAGGTTAACCTTAACCGTCACTACTAAACAATTCTAAACAAGTATGGCTGTCAAAATATGTAGAGTTGAAAGTAAACTTTTTGTGAATTTGTTTTTTTTTTTTAATATTAAGTATATTATAGTATAAATTGATTTTTAAAAAAAGTCCACATCAATAATTGCAATATTAATTTATTTTATGTTTAATCAAAAATTATAAGTATAGGTTAATATTTCCTAATGGCTGCCACCAATTTTTAGTTTGGGTAAAAATGCCACTGCTATAAATGCAACTGAAAAAAAAGATACAAATGATAATGATATAATAACATAATTATAAAAATAAGGATGATACTTGTATGAACCAATATACTCTGTTCCAAAAGAGAATATACCAGTTTTTAAGTTGTAAACACTTTTTTCCTCTTCCCCTGGTCACTACATGTGACGTTATGTGGGAGATACTGGCCTCCAAACAGAAACCAGTCGTTGCCCGTCATATTCTCTTTTGAGACGTAGTATAGGGAATAAATAAAATTCAGTTTTTAATAAGTTATATTAGTTTGTTATAACTGTCAGATTACTTGCAAGGTGCTATGAATTTAATGCATCATCAAACTATAATACTAAAAAAATACACTTAACATTTTTTTTTAATTTCTAAAGTAATGAAATTTAAAAAAAGTATTAGAGCTTATTGAAAAGAAAAAAACATGAGTTCATATTTTGTTGATAAACATAAAACCAGTTATTTTAGTATATTTAAAATAAGAATGTTCTCATGTTTATAAACAAATTTATTCTACTTTTTGTGCACATTTTTACCTAATTTTTACTACTGTGGTCGCCGCTTATTGGACTCACGGTTAATTGACTCATTCGCCTATTAGACTCAAAACGGCTGGTCCCAATTTGCACATATACTAACACACAGCAAAAAATTTGTCTATACAACTCACACACTGGTTAATAGGGTCATTTGAAAATTAAATAAATAAATAAAATATGTACATACACTAAACAAACGTGTTATAAATGCGAAATAAGTCGGTACCAGTATTTTAGGCTTCAAATTGTACGTAGAAGGATTCAGCAAAGAGGCGATTTTTTCGTATTCGAGCAACATAAATCCTATGAAAATATGATTATGAAGTTGGCCAAAGAAAGGAAAATCCAATCAACCCTAGATGGATTTTTATCGAAAAATTAATTCGATTTTACAAACATAATTATATTACATATTATTTTATTTTTAATTGCGTATAGCTATATTTTTATACATACATACCTTGAATCTCAATAAATAATTTTTAGTTGAATAAGTTTTTAAATGTAAGGATTTTTAAAAAATTTTTGGGGTCATTCGCCTTATTGACTCATTCGGTTGATGGACTCAAATGGTCAGGTCCCAAAGTGAGTCTAATAAGCGGTGACCACTGTATTTCTAAATTTGGTGCATAAATTATAAATTTGTATATATTTAATATATTTTGTGATTATATTAAAAACACTAACAAAGCCACCAAATAAAACTAAAATTACATAATACTTGAACTATTGTACTTACTTAATACTAACAATGCTAGAAGATAAAATGTCATCAGACAACTTTTATCTATCAATATACCGACAACAATTATTCCGAATATAGCACCTAATCGACCAGTCATCACAATCATTGAAAATGCCACTCCCCTGAATACAAAAATACATCTAATAATATAGTGTGATAAACCTAAAACTATTGTACAAAAAGTTTACCATTACCTCACATTACCAGGAAATAGTTCAACAATAGTGCAAAATATAATGGGTTCTGTTAATGCAGTAAATCCTTCGAAAACGCAACACATTAGTTCTGCTTGTAGATCATTTTGGGTTATTGGAACCAGTAATGCAAATATAACTGGAACTCCACAAGCCATAACTATTAACAAATAATAATTTTAAATTTCTTAAAATCAACAAACAATTAGATGATTATATTTTTTCATTAAATCTTTTTTAAATAATAAAAATGTTTGTATTGAACTTATCCATTCCATGCACAATACAACTATTACATATTATAGTTATAACTTTATAAGATTGACACACTAGAACCCACACCATTTTTTTTCTTAATAATAACAAAATCTTAAGCCAGTAAACCAACCACTTATCTATATATCTCTATCTATATTTCTATGTATATTTCTATCTATATTTCTACATACTTAAGTACTCAAAATTATGTTTCTATAAATCTGAAACAAAATACATACAAAGCAATTTTTTTTTGTCAACATATTTAATTATGATCCCAGTTATAAGTACTAGAGGTATTGTAGAACATGCCACAATTAAAGCAGCTAAGTAAGCATCTTTTGAAACAGTTTGTCCAGGTAACACGGGATTATTATTTAAGTGCCATTCTGATGCTGCACATAAATTTACACCATCTTTATTTTGTTGTTTGTAATTAGAGTATCTAGAAAACAATTCAGGTACCCATACAAGAATAGTTATATATCTGTAACATATAAAATAATCAACAAATTATTTTAAAATCAGTGCTAAAGATGTGTAAGATATTTTGTATTCTATATATATTCTTAAAACATTTATAAGTGAACAACTGGGTTCTCATAATAATAATCAAACTCAACAAATTTGATTATTTCTACTGTAAGTTTTCTAGTGCATAGCTTTAAAAGAAAATTCTTCAAAATATTATGAAAATTATAAAATAGAAATATTAAATTTTAATTTTAAAACTTTCTAATTTATATTCATATTTTTATTGTAGTTATAATAATATATATTATATGAAATCAGTATTATGCCTTAAATAAATATTAAATATACTCACGATGCCATTAAACAAAATTCTACAGTACAAGCCACCATGATGTTTCTGAAATATTTAGAGAATAGCGTTACATGACCATTTTTTAGGACAATTAATCTTCTTTTAACATTTGTCATGAACGGTATGCCTCCAATAAATCCTGTATCAAACCAAACTGCTGAATGGGTTTGAGTGAAAATTTGCACCTTTAGTTCAATGATTTAAATGTATTAACAGTAATATTTATCTTTTAAATACACTATCAAGTATTTTAAGTGAAAACTAATATAGTAATATTCACAAATAACTAATAGGTAGTACCTAATAATATTACTTACGCATTAGTAAGTAGTTATAGGTACTGCTATAAATTGGAATATTGAAAAATATTAATATTTCATTAATTTACACACAGCATATTTTTAGTAGGTAACAGCTACTACAGCATATACCTACTTCAAATCCAATTTATTAAATTTATAAGGTATTTTAAGTTTTTAAATTAAAATGTAAAATTACAAAAAACCATACATTTTTATTCAAGAATAAGCCAAGTCTGCTGATTGGTTGGGCGGTATTAAAATTAGTTTTATGAAATTATATTCTTAACTACTAAATCAAAAAAAAAAATTTTAAATAAATATGTTAAACAATATTTACCGAATACGGTTCAGTTGCATGTTTATTGTTTACTAAATAAATGTGTTCAAGAACTTCTCTGGACTTCATTAAATAACCTCGAAACATTAAAAACCTCGGTGTTTCTGGATATTGGTAAATCAATATAAATGAAATTAAACTTGGTATTGACGTCAAAAGTATGAAAATTCTCCAAGCATTAAATTTGAAATATACAGATGAAATTAAAACAATATTGCTGGGAATTATCACCATAGCTAAACCTAAAACAAATAAAAAAAAAATATTTTAAGTCTCGATTAAATATGCTTACACTTTTTTTAATATTCTTTAAATAAAATAAAATAAAATAAATTTAAATTGAATGTAAACAAGAAAATACCTAAACATTATAACATTATACATTGGTAGGTACTCTATTTGTAAAATGGTACAGGTAACATCATATTTTTAAAAAAAAAGATCTACATTATTTCAATCTGAATATTTAATGCCTCCCCCCTCCCCCCAATAGGCATTAATACAATAATTGTTACATTAATAATGTATAACAGTTCACAAAAAAACAAAACCGAAACTAACTAACACTAACAAAGGTAAATAGTAAAATAAATAATTAGGTACCTATAATATGCAATTTATAATAATTGGACACATATTCAAAATAAAAGTGGAATGCTCATTACTCAAACCCATAACACAATCAATTAGAATAATAATGGTTCACCCCATAGGCCATAATTATTATGTACCTACCTAGGTTGGGCTAAGTACATATTATGAATAGGAACAACAAAAAGAAACGAGCAGATACCTAGGTACCTACTTTAAAGTTTATTTAGGACAGGAATAAATAAAGGAAATACGGGGGTAACTGAAATTACTGAACTTCAAACATTTAACAAATCCAGAGGTTAAAGAACTCGTCAGTTATAATCCAGAGGACAATATAACCACAGAATAAATGCAATTTTGAATGAAAATTTCATTTATTCTGTGATATAACACATTATTATTTAACTAGAGTTTTTTTTTGCAAAGATAATAGACTGAGATCTTTAGAGCATCAGCGGGGATATTTACAACATTGTATAAGTTATAGGTGACTATAAACTAGATATTTAATAACTATTTAAAGGACACTACACCAGTGTGTATAAACACAAATACGTGTAGGTATAAGAGTTTTCCGAGTTTTCGCATTGTTGTGCATTTGTAAGACGGAGACTCGGGTAGCGTCCTCTTAACTATACCTACCTAAATAACATATAGCTAACATCATAGCTCACCCCCCCCCTTTTGACAACCACTGGAAGGGAGTAATTGAGAAGTGATCGTCTCTGAGTTTTTAAGTGGTGGTTGGTGGGTGATGACCAATATATAGTCCGCGACATGCAAAGTGGCAAGTGTGTACTGCGAGCCTCAACGGGTTAGCCGACCTGTTAGCCATTGGCACTAATTTAGTATTAACTATAGGTGCATAGTATTTCAGTACCTAATATAACCACGGCAAGTATTTACAAATTTCATAGTGAATGCGCATTCATCTAGTTATTAGAGCTACAAGCTGAGTGGGTGAAATATTAGACTAGCCTCTTAAAAAGGTCAAGTTCACCACGCCACTGCTCACTACAACTTGATATGTTAACCTAAAAGCTTAACACGTAATAATCAAAGGGAACAAATAGATATATTTGTGACCTCAGAAAAAACAACATCTTATCCAATTTAAACGCAGCTTTAGTTCCGAACATAGACGATATCAAAAGTATGATCAACTTCTTGTGAAATACGAACCTGTACAAAGTACAATCAAATTAACTAAAAAAAAAGAAAAATTACTTGCAAGTAACTTAATCATCCTATATGATAAATTGTAAAACTGTAACCTTATGGAAAATTGAAACTTATAACCTTTGTCGTTGATGGTTAATGTTTTAAATTATAAATAATATAAAAAATTCTTTTGATTCAAGGTACCTAATATTTTGTTTAAAGATATTATTTCGATGACAATATTGGTAGGTATATGACATATCATACAATATTACAATCTACTAAAGTCTAAAAGTATACTACAGTAAGCTATAAAAATATTATAATTACCTCTATAAACACTTTTATTTTGTGTATTCGGAATCAGAATCATGTTTTATTGTTATAATATGCTATTATAAATAATTAATATAATTTAGAAGAAAAAAAGAAATAATTACATAAATAATAATATATTGAAATTCATGTTCTTTCGAAACCTTCAACCGTATTTTAATTTGTAATACAAACAATGTGTACTAACCTGGTCCAGCAATCATTCCAATAGCCCAAAATAATTCAAGAAAAAGTAGATAACTGTCTCTTTTGGAAAGTGTTAAAAATTCACCCAAGTACACATAAACCATGCACGTAGCACCAATAATCCTGAAATTAATAATTTTATACAAACACCATAACAATTGAGGTAAGTGTAAAAGTATCAAATATTAATTATATTCAATGATTTTGTATGTAGATTTAGGTATTATATTTAAGTGATTATGAGGAGGAGCAAATTTCGGCCAGATTCCAAACAGTTTTTTATTCACCTTTAAAAATTCTTTTGTATATCTTTTTTGAGATGTTAAATCATTTAAAAATGTTGAAAAACATTTATTAAAACATATTTAATGTTATTTTTACTAATATTATAACATTTTACATATATCTACCCACAAATATAAATAATTGAATATGCATATTATTATGCTATCACTTACGCAAATCCATTCCCTATTCTGAGTATGAAAAACAATCCAACATGCTGTACCAAGGAAGAAAATATAGTTAATAATGCATCCATTCCCATTGATCCCAAGATAACAAGTCGCCTTCCTTTTAAATCACCTAAAATACCCCAGAAATATGCTCCTAATACCATTCCTAAAAAATGTTTAATACAAAAATATAATATTTATAATAATTTACAAATATAGGCACCTATCTAGTGCAATTTTGTATAAGTAATTGAATAATATTTTAAATTAGTTAGGTATAACGTTATAGATTTAATAGACGTGCATAGAATGCAAGTTGTCAATTTATTAAGGTGTAAAAATAATTTATTGGTATTTACTAACAATAATATAATCGACATTTTAGTTCAATTCTTTTAGTGTATACAGAGATTTTTAGAAAGTATTAAATTAAGTTGCGAGAACTGGTTCTGGCAGATTTTCAGAAGCACTCCCTGCAGTACGCTTTACCATTCAGTGCACGATGATAGACTTACCGAGAAACGGAGCTCCATTTAATATTCCTTTGGTAGTTGAATTTAAATCGAAGTCTTCTCCAGCCGCAGGCGAAATAAATGATACGGCTGTCGTAGATATAGCACACGACATATTCACTAAACCACATGCTACCAATAATACATTTTGATATATTCCAGTTCCTAAAAGTATTTGTATGCATAATATTATGTTATGGTAGTCAATATTTGTAAATATCTTGGTCAAGTTAAACATAATTGTATAATTTGTATAATTGTCTTGTACCACAGGAAAAAAATACTCAACCTATGCAAGTATTGAAGTATAAAGTATTACAATTTCCAATATGTTATGTTATAGGATATGATCTAAGGCCTAAGGGTCCCACACTCCCACCATCCCGTCACTAAATAATATTTGAGTACGTTTTTTACACAATTATTTCCACGATACTATATACAAATATATTATATAGTGTGTTTGTATTTTTTTTTTCGAATGACGGAACACTATTAACATTTTATCAGATTTTTGAGGAACACAACCGTAAAATAAAGCAATATTTAAATACGTTTTAAAATTTTATAATACAACTAAACAATACATGAATAGTACAGCACAGTTTACATACAATATATTTATAGTCACTTAATAATAATACAATTAATAAATACAATTTAAAAAAATTTCTCAATTTCATAAATTTTCCATTGATTTTAAAATTATGACTGATAACAATTTAGAAAAAATCTCGTATTTTTAGAAATTACAACGGATAAACAAAATTTTAAGATATGGTTCAAAAGATTCAAAGTAGACTTTATATTAAATTAAAATATGTTTTCAAAAAGTTTTATCGGAGAAAAACTCAAGCCATCACGGTGGATCGCGTATAAGTCTATTTTGCTTCAAAATAGGTATTGTAAAATCTCCTTGGGCTTTTTTTTTTAATGTTTTAAAGCAGTTAGTGCTTTTATCGCATTTACTCTGAAGTCTGGACTTGTTAAATCGTATTCAAAACATTTAAATTAAAAAGTAACGAAGTTTGTCATGTGTTATCAATGTGTTTAATGTTTTTACCTATAGCTTTAATCGGATATTATTAACAGTAATTTTTCGAAAGAATCGGTACAACGTAAAATTGAAATTATTTTGAGTGTCGACAGTAAAATTAAATAAGTATAATTCTTACCTATCATCATTATCAACAGTCGTTAAAAAATTAATTTTAATATTATTATGGTTGTTTATTTTTGTCATGCACATAATTTTATTGTTTATGTAATATACATTTTTAAAATTATTTAGTACATAATATAAAATAGCCCATAGGCCCATAGGTATGCAATATGATCATATTGCAGGTATTCAAATTTCCCTAATGACTTCTAAGTTCTAATGAAGTAGGTACACAAATACGCCAGAAAAGCCCAGAATACTGAATAATTACAGGTACTAGTATTATGAAAAGACAATTTAAAAAAATATATATTTGGGGTTTGGGACCTCTGCGGAAAATCCCTATTTCCATGTCCATGTGGCCCTACCCAGTACCCACCTACGGGTATGTATATAAAAATTAATGTTTCTTTGTTTGTCCTCTAGATACCACAGGGTATAGGCGTAGAATGAGGGAGTCTAAAGGAACTATAGCCCTCACTCCCATCCCTTAAATTTTTTTGGTAACATTTTTAGAATATATGATAACCTAACCTATCTAAATTTATCACGCTACGTCCATGCTAGATGCTAGAAACACAAAAACTACTGGAGTGTTCTCAATAACAGCTATATCAATTGATTCCTTTAAACGCGGCGTTTAATAGGTACTTATTTTTAGGGTGACTTATACGTTACATCTTACACATGAATTTAGTTTTGTCACACGAAAATGATTTTTTTGCTAAATTAAATGGTGGCAACTAGTGAACGATTGTGTTAGGTTAGATTACTACCTAGAGGCTAGAGACTTTAGAGTACTACCAATATACCTATCTATTAAAATGAGTAGAAATATGGCATAAACATTGCAAACATGTTTAAAATAACAAATCTTAAAACCAAATATTTATGAATACACTTACAATGATTAATTATGATTTGCTGTTTTATTTGTGGTTTTTAGCATTTGTCGAATCTGTATAAAGTTTTTAGTGTTTACAACAAAAGTATGTTCATGATAAATCAAGAAGTGGAAAATCATAAAAAATAATCATTGTAATTACGATTGTATTAAATGCTCCAATAAAACAAAACGGAAAAAATATAAGAATGGATCATTTTAACTCAAGCGAAGTCAGGTAGTACAGCTTCATGTTATAAAACTATAAAATTATACCTACTTGAACGTAGTTTATAATTTAGTTCATAAATCTGCAGGTACAAGAAAAATGTTGAATTTTATTCTACTCACCAGACTCGTTCTGTGCTTCATCAAATGTTACTGGTGAATCTAAACTCAAATTAAAAAGATCTTAGGTACCAATCTTCTATTTATGACTTAATAATATATTTTTCTTTACCATCATACGCCGCCGATCTTCTCACGCCAACATTAATATCTGCAGAAACTTCGTCTAATGCGCCTTGTGCTACCAGTGTAAGCCTCCCAACACCATCGACGTGATGGTTATCCATCGTTTTAACGATCGAGGAAAATGTATAAAAAAAAAATATTGGTTACAGAGTTGGATTGAACTTACAAACTACAAAACCTATAGAACTCTACCTATTCTGTAATAATTATTCATGAGCATAGACAAATATAATATAATGTAACAAAAAATTGTCCACGGATTCTCATAAAATATAACATAAAATCATCCATGGATTCTCATAAAATATAATACAATGTACCTATATTATTGGTGTATCAACTCCATGGTGTTGATTATTTATTTTAGATATATAAAAAATTCATTTTTTTTTGTAATTCTATCAAAATTTCAACGTATTACTCAACTATTATGGTTAAGAAAAATGAAAGACTATTTTAAACCATGATCAATTCCATTTAATGTCAATGGTCTAAAACTGACCAATATGGCAATATATTCATCAATAATCCAAAATCCAAATTAAATAAAACTTTAATAATTATCGTTACGATGCCATAAAGAAATCGTCACAGACCCCGTTAAAATAATATATTGTGATTTTTGTCTCTTAAAATTATCGAGGACTGCACAGATTTATATTCATTCAGCTTTTAGTGTAAATGGTCTTACAATTAAACTTAATAAGTAGGTAATCACTAATCATCGTAATCACAAAATAAATTAAGCTTAAAAAAAATTCTTTTTTTTCTGACATTTTGTATTTTTGTGCACTGGGTGAAATAACTAAAACATAATATGAACATTTTTAGTTCAATGATTTTATAATTAAAATATGATTGTAGTATCAAACAATTATAATACCCAAGGGCCAAGGTGATTAAAATCACATCCACTCCTCGAAAATTCCAACTAGCGTGTTACTGCCTACTGCTTGGAATCGTCTTTAGTCTTTACCATACTAGGTATATAATAATATGTGTTAGGTTATTATTTATTTACTTATATTCCAATTTTCTAGGAACCCTTGAGTGATCTGAGTATAAACTGGCAAATTGCCAGTTACCACCTGGTGCGTTAATATTTATCGAGTGGCATTAGTTGTGAAACGCACACTATATAGGCATACATTAAAGAGCTATTATTAGCTAATGTTAACTGTTACATTTTTTCATTTTTCAATTTCATTCACGGTTGCTGTTGTTACCGTTACGTGCCTACTAATACAGTTAACAAAGTTTGGACTAAAGTACTATACGATGGAGATCACATCGCTTCTCGCCAATAGCACAAATGTCCCCGAAGGATACTCTGCGAGAAACGTCGGTTAGGTGAAGCTGTTGCTGCTGATCTTGCTTGGACTCTTTTTAAGTAAACATCAGCTGGTCCTTAGCCGAAAGATCATAGATTTTCTACTGGCATTTCATCTGCAGGACTTGATTAGATTTTTAATGTTTTTTTTTCAATTATTGCCGACAAATAATTTTTTACTCGGTTAAACAACGTGAACGATTGAATACAATACTCTTCATAAGTCTTTTTCGATTACAAAATCAAGAAATCACTAGTCTTTATTATAATTAATTAATTTACTATGAATTATGATATAAAATAAAAAAAAGAAATACTAAATAGTATTGTAATAATCTGGTGTAAAAAATTTATAATGAATAATTACACTTTTTCGTCATACGGTTTTCTGTTTTATTTTTTTTTTTAGTTTTGATAATTATTACTACGATTTTAGGACAGAATATTTTGTACTTCGGTCAGAATTAATATTAATATGATTTGAAATCCAAATGCAATAATTTCTAAAATGTGACAAAGTCATCGTCATATTATCATTCAATTATTTGAATATTAACTTTTGTATTTTTCAACTCTGTTTAAAATTTTTAACTGTCTAATTTCTACAATAAGTATTGCCATATTGGACGATCCACTTAATTAGGTACACCGTACATGAATCATACGATATTAGAACGGAACTAGCAACTGCATGATAGTAATATTATGATTATACAACATTTAAAATTTAAATGTCTTATAGTTTTCGATTACAATTTTCAATCCATACACAGCTATAGACAATATATAATATATATATTATATATTCATAAAACTGATAAAAGTAGCCAAATATATCTAATTCTACTCGTATGCTCACTTATTGAATACTCAATGGTCACATCAGTAATGTATACCAGGATTTTTTCAAGGGGGGGGGGGCTACAATATTTTATTGCTAGAGCCAGGGTACTACCGGGTATTGTAAGTCTGATATTTCGGGGAGGGAGGAGAGGAGGCTTAAGCCATGAAGCTCTTCCTGGCTACGGCACTGAGTCACAATGTCACATATTTACAATTTGCTATACCTACCTACTGCTGTAGTAGTGTATTGTTTCATGAGCTATGAGTCTATGACTCTATGAGTAGTTACTATAGTGATGAGTTGACACAGTGTGTTGTTGCAGTCAACAATTGTCAATTACTATACTATGTAGATACTATAAATATTACATATTAATTATTATATAGTATAATTGTTGACTTTTGTGTGTTGTAAACAATGTAAACTCAATTATAATTATTTACACCTGTAATAGTTACATTTCGACATTCAACTGTCGCAAAAATTAAAAGAATAAGACTTTGTGTAGTGGTTCTCATTAGATATAGAAAAAGAGTTGAAAGAAGAAAAAGCTATAGAGAAAATATTACAATAATTGGACAGCTTTTTTAATAAAGTAGATTTTTGAAATATTATATTTAAATATTTAGAGAATAATTGTATTTTTTTTCAACTATTCCTAAGAAAATGTATTATAAACGATTTTGACTAGTATTGCAGATCTATTATTACAATTATATTTAACTTATTAAAGTTTACTTCTATTAAATTTTCAATTTGATTTAAATCCTATTCTAAAAATTGTTTACCTAGGTGTATTTATAGATACTTAAATATGTGGGTACTAACAAAAAAAATTACTCTGGATTGTGAGAGGGGAGGAGCAAAATTGTTAACTCCATGGCGGCATTGGCCTTTTATTTGCTCAGGGAAGTCACTCTGTTGTACATCAAGTGTCAAAAGAAGTTACTGTAATGCATGTGTTAAATTTAAATTAAAAAATATAAAATTATTGTATACGAAAAACGATTCCGCTCAAAAATATTATTGTAGAATATAAGCTGATTTGGACTACTCGAAATAACCACAATTTGAATTTTAAATGTTAATAAACAAAAAACGTTCTGATTAATCTTAAATATTTATAAGCTGCTATTATAATAACTTAAGCGTTAAGCGGAACCTTTTTATTATTTTTAAATGGTACATGAATGAGTTATGAAGAATTTTGTATAATATTTTCAAAGTATTTCATCTGGAGATCAATTTCTTTATTGACATTTAACAAATTATAAACAAAAAAAAATCATAAATTTCAAATGTTTTTAAATAGCTCAATAAAATATATTAGCTTGTTTATTGTAAAATATAAATTTTATATTTTATTATAGGTAAGCACAATAGTCAATTATATACCAATATTATGTTCATACAACTATTATCTAGGTACTGTTAGGAATAAATAATTAGGTCAGAATATTTAGTTTCATTAAAACACTTCGATATCATATAAAACAGTTTATTACTAGGAAAAGTTAATATGTATAACATTGTTACGGCATTACGGCTTAAAGCTACGGCAGTCGTCAGCGACACATTATTGCGTCGTATCCGCGGTAACGGCGAAAAAAGAACTGTCGCGCGTCTCCAGCTTATAACGGTGGAGGCGCGCGACCCCAGTGTGTCACGACTTACAAAATTAAATTGCCCTTATAATAATATCGCTATCAGTACCTCAACTATTGTATAATGGATTTAATCAATAGTACAACTCTTTTTTGATATAGGTAGCTGGTGGTAGCCAGTATAATTACTTCTGCAGCGCTCTGGCCTATCACCGCTTGATCTGATCGCTCGCCACTGAGCCAACAAAATAGTGAGCTTACTGCAGTACTATGTAATTGAACATTTTTAAATGAATCTATATTCAATATTTCAAACAGCCTACTTTATTAACTAATTGTAATTTCAATCATACAACATTATCTTGGTTGTCTTCTTTCTCGTAAATAAGCAAACGATCTCTTAGTTCTCGAACCTGTTCGTTTTTTTTGGCAATTATATTCTTCATGTTAATGTATGCAGCAGTGTCATTAAATTTTCTGTCCAACTCCTTAAACAAATATTGCAATTAGCATATTATAATTGACAAATCTGCTTATAAACCACAGTTTGGAGTTGATTAAGAGTATATTTATATTTTATTGTGAGTTGTATAGTAGGTATGAAAAGATGAATAGCAGTCACCAGTCACCACTAACCATTAGATATAATAAACATAAGAAACTAATTTGATTAATTTACATTAATTGTATTCATCTACTTTTAATATTTGTCAGTGTGTCACATTATTGAGCACTATTGTTATTTCAATAGTCAATGTAATTTAAATAATTATACATAGGTATACCTGCCTAAATTATACATTTTAGGTAGGTATATGATAATATTAACTTACCAAATTTGTTAATGTTAATTGTGATTGCGCAATCAACAATTTATTTTCTAACTGATTCACTGTTGTTTTACATTCATCATGATTATTAGTATTATCCTGAATGTACATTTTAAAAATTAATTACTATTGGCACAAGATTCTAAGTCATTAAAGTTTGTTTTTCGAGATACCTACGTCAAAAATATTTTGAGTTTGTACTTCAATTTCAACTAAACTTTTTTGCGGATCTCCTTGTTTGTCTTCTTTTTTGGTAAGTAATTTCAATGCTTCTTTTTCACTATTCAATTTATTACACTAAAACATGTATGTTAACTTAAAACACAATCAGTTTAATTCTTATATTCTATATATTAAAAAAAATTTTATTTCTTTTACATTATCTTCTAAAGTTTTTAAATCTGCTTCCAATTTAGAATTGTGGGTTTCTAGCTGGTTTAATCTTTTTTGCAACACTTCAGCAAAATCATTTGTAATGTGATCATGAGTACTCAAAAGCTTCTTTTTTTCTAAAGCTCGGTTCATCATGTTAGAACTTGTTTCTATTTTTTCCATTTCTTGTAACAGTTCTCTATTTACACAAAATACGTATTATGTAACCCTATAAATAAGTAAAAATGTAAAATCAAAGTTTAATTATATCCACCTACTTGTTTTGTATTTCAGATATATCTACATTGAGCCTTAAATGCCATTTTTCAGCTTGTTGAAAAAATTGATACATCATTAGGAGATTGGTGCTTGTATATGCAGATAATTCACATTTTATTTCATTTGTTATTGTTCTTTCTAAACCGTTTAATATATTTTTCACTTCTTCTTTTGTGTATGTTTCATCTAATAAACTTAAAAATAATTACATTTTTGTTTTAATTATAATAGAATAAAATATGTTCTATAGTAATGAAATAAAATATGTTCTTAGTAATGTAATATAAACAATGTATACTTTGTTTTGAAGACTTCTTCAAATGCTTTTTTAATTAATATAATAGATTGTTTTTTTTGGTGACCCATAAATTCTACATAACTATCAATGACATTTCTATGGTGTTCATTTACTGAAATATCTCCTTCCTACAATTATATAGGTACAATATTAAAAAGAATTGAACCAAAATAGTTTGATGTACCTATATAATAAAAATAAATAATTTACCATAACTTTTTTTTTGATATTAATTATTATTTTATTATAAATTATAAATATTTCAATACAATAATAATTATTATTAAGTAAATACCAAAAAATAAACTAACATTTATAAACACACATAATACAGCTTACATTGATTATATATAAATTGTTATGACATTGGTAACTAGGCAATAGCTGTAAATGTGTACATACTACATAATAAGAATATTTATATAATAAATTATAATAATTGAGTCGTATAACGTAGCGATATCTAGCGATGAAATTAAGGGTGAAACCCAAACCCACATACCAACAATAGGCCATTCGACAAAACGCCATTATCATAACTGACAAAATGCCACCTGCTAAATTACCATCGTGGCATTGTACCTACTGCACTGCCAATCGTACCTATATTAGTGCACAATAATGTTAGGTACCTTCCAATTTCCATAATTATATCATAGAACAATAGTCACCTTAATATTAATTAACTATCATCAAAGAACATTAAGTTTCTGACTGAAAATTTAAACTAGGTACTAATTATAAAATTGTAATATTAAAATCAAAACTGCTGGTCATTTTTTTGGTTCAAATACAAAAAATAATACAGCACGAGTTCTGATAGTTTATATTTTAAACTAAAATATGATTATTAAAAGTGGGAGGCTAAGCCCCCTTAATTGCGACCATGTACTTATGTACCAATAAATAAATAACAATATTTTTGGTATGAATAAATAACAAACCAAAAAAAATAGTTTTAAGTACCAACATAGTATTGTTTTAAGAGTTGAGAGCTGAAGTGCTTGCAGGAGGTGATGCAATAGTTGAATAGTGGTAAGAATTTAGAACGTTTCAAACAGTTTTCTACTAGGTATTTCAGGTATTTGTGTAAACTGTCTAAATCATCTTGAATTGTATTCAGTAACCCAGATAAAGCTTTTGAAATAGATAAGGTTAAAATTTAAATAAATTTAAATTCTAATTCCTCCCTTTAATGAACAAATTCATGAATATGGTAATATCTATGTAAGCGGAAAATTATAAACAAATTTAATAGGTACCTATATATTTTGTAAAAAAATTAAAATATGCCTATTTCTACTATAGTAATAATAAAAAATAGTAACATAATAAGTAGGTAATAGGTATAGGTATGTAACCAATGGAAACCATTTAAACAAACAAAAAAAATTATTTTTTCGTGAGCTGAACAATATTCCGGTGCTAGCTACCAAAAGAGGTTGTAGTCTATTCGTAAAAAACACAGAGGTTCTAAGGGTATTATTTTTTTTTTTGGGGGGGGGGGAGCATAAAAATATGGTTGACCCAGGGCTGAAAAATTGTAAATACGGCCCTGGTTATATATGCTAAAGCCGAACACTATATGTCTATATTTACCATGAAGACAAAACCATAATGCAGTTGTCGGACAGCGAAATAACACATGAAGGTATATTTAAAGATCTCCGATCGGCCAAGTTTCATATACCGCCTGGAGCCGGGCCGGCGATTATAAGACATAAAATGCCTAACATTTCCACAGTGGGCCATCGACCATTTGCAGTGACGCTGAGATCAATAGGGTAGGTGTACGCCTTTGACAGTCTCGGCCGACCAATTCACCAGCCCCCGTTACCTATCCGACGCCGATGTGCTCGGACTCAATGAAAGGCCAGCCAGCCCACCGGATCGAAAGATATTTGTAGCCAACTACGCAGGCCCGAAGTGCAAGTATTATATTATGTCGCTGGTGAACGATGCTGTGAACTCCCCCTGTAGTGGCTACTCCGAAAGGAATCGACACCACCTACTGTACGTCCGTGCCGGCGACGGAACTTCCGGCGGCTTCGTCGGACGTCCGGGAGAGCTACGAACTCGAAGGCAGTTCGACGCTGAGGCGATGCTCTTCCGCGCCGAACATACATATAAGTTTTGGACTGGTCGACAATCAGGAGGTGGCCGCGGAACCCGTTTGACCCAAATGGCGTCGCACAATGTGGAGCCGGACGAAGCGATTCTTCCGAAGCATGTTTTGATTCGCCGTTTATAGGATGACCAGTTTATTGCTATATGTTTTTTATCCACAGACTTATCCAAGACTTCTCACGTGTACTGTGTACACCAGCTAATCGCGCTTTTTGCGTACTTTTGAGCACCGATGCAACCTGTTGCCGTTGGATCGTTCCTGTTTTCGGCCGGCACACCTGAAGTTTTTTCGACGCGTAAAGTTCGCGGAATTTGTAGGCTGACCTGCGATGGCTAGAAAACTTACAGCCATAAATATAACAATGTCAAGGAGTCACCTCAACCGGAACAAATCTTCTGACCACTAACAACGTTGCAACCACTGTGGGTAACCGTAACCGGTTCCGGGTTACCGCTGAAGACGGCACCGGATCGCCCGCCTGTCCAAACTATATACAGAGACGTTGGGTGAGGAGGAGCATCGCTTCTGCGTCAATCGATCCTCGTCTTTGCTGCTTGTTCTACTGCTGGAGAATGTACAGCTTTGTCGACCAATGACGTCATATAAGAGCGGTACGACGGTTCTGCGAAGTTCGCCAAAAAAATCTGCGGCGGGCTAGCTGGCTGTTCGTTCAGATCACGAGCATCTCGGCGTCGGGCAAGTTAAGCTGCTTGGTCGGCTGCTATGTAGAACTGATCTTATGGTGTCGCCTGCAGCCGGACAAACAGTGACGATATTTGGCATAGACTTATGTCGTCGAATCGCCGGCTCCGTTAGTGTATCGGGTGCGACGGTATGTCGAACTTTACAGGTTCTCTTCTGGTTTACCTAGTTTTCAGTTTAACCGAAATACGCATCGGAGTCCGAAGTTCAGCGGAGACGTGTTCCAGCCGCATCGGTCGTGGCTCGAAGTTGAAGAGTTGAACTTTAAGGAAGTACTCAAACATTACTATTGAAAGGATAAGAAAATGTTTGTTCAGTTTTTTCAGTTTTTTATATAAATAAATAATTTTGTTGTGTTACCTACTTATTTAAATGGTTTTTAATTGAAATAGTATTATACAATATGTTCTTTAAATGCATCAACATGCTTATGTAAAATAAGTTTATGTATAGCTTGTGAAAATGGTAAGTGAAGTGAAACCTCTAAATACCGGAAATTCTCAGGCACTGACATTTTGTTCACTATTCAGAAATTCAGGGGGTTCAGTTTGTTGTTGGTTTCCAAGAAAACGATTTGGAGGTGCCCGGCAAAGGAAGTTTTACTGTAGTTCATTAATCATTAGTCATAACTAAATACCAGATTTAATTGTATATTTAGTTTCAAGTTTTTTTACCTAGTAAAAAATTTTTTACCGACGCTAATTTAAAAAAACAAATAATAATCGAAAATTTCATATGCGTATATAAATATTTTGAAAATTGAATGGTGTATATAAATTGCTAACGCTAACATTCATTAAAATTTTATGTATCTGTGGTCAGTTTTATAGAATTACACTAAAAACCAAAATTGATTTTTTTGAAAACCAAGTTTCCGTAAAAATTCCAGATTTTCCTGAAAATTATTGGGAACTTTGAATTTCGACCTCCCGAAGTCCCGAATTCACCAACCTTTTCCTACCAGAAAAATTGCTTTTGAAGAAAATTGAAGCACTTTTACTGCCCCCAGACCACGATGACAGACTCAAAAATACAAAAACCCATAACATTGTAAAATCAATACTTTCATCTCTCCGTTCAGAATCTAAAATGGGAAAGAGAGCACTGGCGTCCCCGCAGACAAATGTATTTTAAGAATAAAAATAATAATTTCTAAAATGTATTGTAGGTATATATAGTGTATACACATTACACCCCGAAGACTGCAGTCTATTATCTCCGATTCTATTAAACCCATAGGTAATAACATTATTTACAATAATTAGTTAAAAAATAATAATTAGTTAATAATTATTATGAACGAATGATTAATAATAGGTATCCTGGTATCCCATTCAAGCTTGGCGTGGCGAAACGAAGACGGCGTTTGAGTTGTTGTAGAGGTAATAAATATTTAAATTAAGTCCAAAAAGAAAATTCAAGCTCCAAAATAATATGAAAACAAACATACTCGTGAACATCAACTCTTCCGGTACTATACCTGTACCAGCCGACCTAACAACTACCTTCATCCGTGTCTTTCGAACTGAAACTTGAAAGTATCGAGACATTTTATGAAAATAACCGGAACTTAACGACATATGGGAGTACATGCTAAATTATATACAGCTTAACAACTATTCAGACTATTGATGTGGAATTAAAAATTTGTTTTTTGAAATTAATACAATTGTTAATCGCCTCCAATGAATTGTAACGATTGGAAATTTCTATAGATACCTATATCAGATATTATATATTATTATGATAAATTCATAGACATTTTACTCAGTATGTAATCATATGTTTCTTTTTATAGCTTCATTGACTCGTTGAATTTAGTAAATAATAATATACGATACTATGTTTACGAAAAATAATTTTATGTATTGAATTAAGTACCTACAGACAGGGCTTGAAATCAAACTGAAAAATTTTGATTTTAATTTCAGTTTTATATATTATGATCAATGTTAGTTTTTTCTGATTTAAATTAAAAATAATATATTGATAATTTATATTATAATTGTATGATTTTTACCGGTGCGCCGTAACTCCGCACGGATCGTCGCCATTTTATAATATATCACCTTAGGTTAGGTTCATTTTTACATTGTTACACCCTTGCACGATACTAATTTAGCTGTATCATGATTTTTGATTAGATTTTGAATATAATTTTCTTTTTGTAGATTTAAAATTCTGATTTATAATTACAGTGTTATAGAGGTTACACATTTCGCAATGATCGCGAAAATATGATAGGAACAGTACTTCCTACAATCCTACATGATCACAAAACAATACCCATTATGTTAGCCACCCGACTAAAAGAGGCACGGACCACTGACGATAATATATTGACATCCCTATATCGATTGCGATTCAAGCAATAAAGATTTTACACATAATTTTCATCGTCTAGAAATAGTATATTGACGGATACCACCCTACAGCACAGCGCAACGGGTACAATATGCACATGGCACAACCATTCCCTCCCGGCAAACGGTGTATGCTTGCGATGAGCTAAAATGTAATTTTAGACTATATTGTCTATATTGAACATTGCACTAATGTACTTCAAATCAAACTTAATTGGTAATTCAATAAATTGGTTCAAAAAATGTTGTTCAGATCATTCATCATATTTTTACAATCATACTATTTATGATTTTTATGTCGATAACGTCTTCATCTATTTACAGTGTGATTAACGGCTGTTATGCTTCGTAGACTTATACCATCAACAACTAATTGATCAGGTGGTGTTACATCTTAATCGAATATATTACTTCAACTTTGTATTTTTTTTTTTTTTGCTCAAGAAATGTTATAACAATGTTTGTAGTTAAAACGCATTTTGTGCTATTTTTAGAGTATTTTCAGATAGTTTGAGGGAATTTAAGTACAGGCGCTAATTATTACTCAATTACAGAGTAAAATTTCCTTAATAAATTGAAATAATGGATATAGTAAATACTTGCAACGCACACCAACAATTTAGTAGTTATATTTTGTATTTAAAAACGGTTAGTAAATCACAGAATCTTACAATTTCATTAAAGATAACAATATACTACCTACTAATTAGTTACTAAAAAACATAAGATGTGGAAAGAAAAAACTGGACATTTTTAGAAAAATGTAATTTAATAATTATGAAAACACTTGTAGTATTTTGCTTATAACATTTTTTTATTGTTTGTAAACATTTCTAAAGAATCTAACGAACAAAATTTTCACCATATTTCCTAGCTACACACTATTGAAAAATATTTAGGAAATTAGGATTTTATATTTATAATCATAACTTTTCATCACATATAAATTATATAATTAATTAATGTGTATATATGTGTCATAGAAATATAAACTTTTTTAATACTTTTACAATGTGTTTATCAATAATTTATCAATTACATTATTTTATTCAAGTAAAGTCAAAATGGTATATATTTTTAGTTAAATTTAAAATTATCAGTCTTGTTAAATCATATAGACATATGACCCAATCTCTACGGAATGTGGACTGAAACAATCATAGATTTAATTTTGATCTGATTCTTTTTGTAAGTTTTAAATAAATTTAAAACATTTTTGTTTGTCATGCGGTATTCTAGTTTTAAAAAGAATAGAATCAACTCGAAACTGAGTATTTAGAAGAGGTGTATACCCAAATATCTGAAACACAAAAATATTTAATATTATAAAATGTTAATAAGAGGATGAATATTTGTTTTCTCCCTCAGGCTCATGCTAAACATAGATTAAATGTTTTCACCTAAAATCATTTTTCATGATTTTTGAATAGCGTTAGAGTAAAATCACTTATTACAAAAGTTATAGAGGATAATATTTTGAGGGTATGATATATTGGTTTTTATTTTATTATTATTTGACTAAGTATTTGACTTTCAAAATAAAAAATAAATTATGTAAATTTAAATAATGTTTAAATTGTTTTGATGTCATACTTAGACAAATCAATATATCATTCCATCAAAAATATTATGCTTTATTGATTTTTTAATCGGTAATGTTACTCTAATATTATTCAAAAACATAAAAAAATGATTCTACATAAATATGTTTTGTCTATGTCGCCTGTGGGCCAGTAAGAGAACAAAAAGCGAGCTGATATCCTCTTAAATGGGAATTTAAATTCAAAATTTCATATTTACTGGCATCATATTTTAAACTTGATGATAAATAAAAAAAACAAAACAAATATTTTACCTTTGTAAAAAAGTTGATACATTTATGGCGTTCTAAAAAGTGTGTTTCATCTTCAGACAGTGAAACAGGACATCCTGGACAGCGAAAAGTCCATCTAGATGTTACCTGAAGTTAAAATAATAAGCATATTATTGTAGGGTCAAAATATTTAATTAACCACATAATTACCTTAACAGGAGGTTTATTGGTAACATGAGATACCAAAAAATTCATTGCAATATCTTCACAGTTCATATATTGGTCTACTTTGTCTCGAATTGCTTGAGGTAGCCAGTATGAATACAAATATAAATAGTATTTATGTACAAACGCAGCGCCTGTTAAGACCATAGATAATTCGCAACTATAGTTTGAGTTATAAAGCCAACCACCATGGTTAAGGTCTAATGCATGAAAACGTCCAGGAAAACCAACAACTCTATCACGCTGTTCTCTCCAAACCCTTAACAATACATAAGTATTGGTGTTAAATAATGATTAAAAATACAATAATGAAAATCAGCAATTTACCTGAAACCAAACATAATTTCATCATGCCTTAAATGAGCATCATCGTCAACTGACAAAACAGCTTCAGTTTCAATTGCTTCATAGGGCAAAAATCTATTATTAAGACTATTTTTAGCTGCCTGAATGACCTGATGAATACAATTTAAATTACATAACATAAATTCCAAATATAAAAATAAAATTAATCATGTTATACTAACATGTATAGGTACACCGATTTCAGGCCACCGTAAGTCTTCGAGAGGTGGTTTAGGAGAATTCCACACAACAAGTACTTTATTTAAATATGGCAGACCATGTAATCGGCTAAGAGAATTCATAAGAACCTAACAAAAAATAAGTAAAAATAAAAATGTTATAAAATTAAAGAATATATTATATAGCAAAAATTATTTTGTTCAGTATACTTGATCACGTTCGTAAGTAAGTATAACAATGGTAAACTGTTCTCGTGGTGAGTTTCCACCAAGACTTTGACAGAATTCTTTTCCAGCTCCACCTGCTCCATTGTTAATTGGTCGAAA